AATAATTGACACAAAATTGACAAGTCTGCCTATTATTGCTAAAAACTGCCAATTTTTCTGAAAATATACACCGAAGTTACAATTAAGCTATAATTACAATTTTGGCCGAAAATTGCTAATTTTGCCAAAATCTTTAAAATATTCTTTACTAGTAGACAGGTTCCAATTTCAGAATATCTCAAGGGAAAGGGTTTTTGAGGCATTTTTTAGAAAAAGCAACAGACCTATTTCTTCTGAATCAGTTTTTCATGCTGATAAAGATATTAAAAGATGACAGCTCAACGGGGTGGTCACGACACTGAATTTTAGCGTTTTTACCCCCCTAGGAAAATATTCTAGGGGGTACTATGAAACTAGTTCATAACTCAAAGGATATATAAACTATTGTTCTGAGTTCTACAGCATACATTGTTAGTACAGAGGTGAATACTACCCTAAAGTTATAGGTTGATATCTTTGTTGGTTTTGGAAAAATACAATTAATTAGAAAAAAATATGCAATTTTTGTCATTTTTTCTTGCTTATTTTATATTTGTAGCTTCAAGCAAAATATGATAACTTAAACAGCTCAAAGTAGTATTCTAACAACATTCCCAAGCTATGTGTGATATTGTAATACATCTATTATAGTGATGAAGTACTATTTTGTAATTTTAATATGACTTTATAGTGCCCTACCCCTGGTAAATAGAAAGTTGGTGTGGGTTTCTTCTGGTTTTTTAACATTTTATTGTCTTCTTAGTTGAAGATACAATCAATTCTGTCAGTTAACCATGAGAAGCTTTACAATGGTTAACTATTCCCATGAATAGAGGGTTGGGACCTCAAAAATACTGTTAAGTGGCATCCTTGGGCAACCCTCTTCAGAGCATTTTCCTTATACTCCGATAAAACCTGCAGGGGATACTATAAGAAACCTATATATCTAAGATACTAATGAAGATACTGAATTCAAATTTTCAGGATTTGGTCCTGGTATGATAGGTAATCTGTATGACAAAAATGACAAAAAGAAAAAACTCTGTTGCCATAGTAACAAGAATACGACACTATTTGTTTCCTAAGAAATGTGTTTTAAGAGGTTTTGTCATTCTCTTCATATTTTTAATTCTAAATATGTCTACAATGTGGGATGATTAAAATTATGGTAAAGTAATCTTTTCTATTGTTCTATTGTTCTCTAAAACAGAAGTTGCTAGGGCGACACATAGATCATAGAAAAAAAATCCTGAGATGATCGCTCTATTTGTCAGGAAATTAAAATGGAAACTGAAAAATGAGTTTCTTCCTACTGAATAGCAATTTGGTAGACCATGGCTGACACGCACAAGAGAAAACGTCTATCAGTTCTATGTCATTTTGTTGTTATTCTTATTTATTTATCGTGCTCTGGGACTTATAACACCTAATGCAGAATCTTTTCCAACTGCAAAGGAAGGCAAGATTTTAATAATGAACATTCATATATCTCAACAGATATGGCCTAAGATTTGGACAATGATGATGAAACTCTGAGGGAAAATTAGACGAAACATTAATGTGAGTGGTCCAAAAATAACACTTACATGTTTTGAAAAAGTTATGCTCTCGGGTGAATCAGTGCTCATTTAAGGATAGTCTGAATCAGGTGAATTTTTAACCTAATTGTACCCCTCCCCCAAACCCCCAAATTTTGACAATTGTCGAAAAGTGGCAAACAACAATTAAACAAACATCATTAAAGTTCAATATGATTATTTCGCTTCTATGTCATAAAGATGTGGTATGATCTCAGGTCAATCAATAAATTTCACAAGTGACACTCTATCTTATGAAGAAAATATTATCGTATTTGAAGACATGTCAAGAATTTGGTGGAAATAATTTTGTCACTCCTGATTTGACTTGGAAAGGTTCAGGTAAGTAATCACAAACAATTTCAGACAGTTATATCTTTGATTATGACTATTTTCTGACCATGAAGACAGGTATACAGGGATAATTAAGTCAATCGGACTCAGAGATATTTCACTAGCAATCAACCCATCACAATATTTTTTCAAAGTTGTTGACCTCATTTTCACCAAAAATGCCATCATTTTAACAATGTTAACAATTCGGTGTCTTTAAAGTCCCTGGAGCAATCCACTTTTCCTCTTAGGAAATAGAACATGTCTCAAAGCATATTCTAATTATGCATTCAACAATATAATTAAAGGTTGCATCTTAAAAATTAGGTCAACATTTTTAGTAAAAAGTATGTTGATTGGGCAATTCCCTTTAATAACACTTAGGTCTGATTTCAATCATTATATTTACTTTTCTTGAAGATAATGAATAGATCTAAAAGATATAAGTCAGAAAATATTCATAATTCAAGTTAGAATTTTCTGAAGTTGTTTGCGATAACCTACATGCTCCTTGATAACATTATTATGTAAATACAGTAGAACCTGTGTAAGTGGAACACTCTCCGTTCTGCCACAAAGCGTTCCACTTAGAAGGTGTTCCACTTATGGAGGTTTTGGGTTCGCAGGGAACATACAAGATCAGATATAGGATTTATATGTATCATTGGAAATATGATTCTCCCTTCATTACAGGGCAGGTATATACCATTAATAATCCATTTAATTTACTCAAAAAGGTATCTGACATTCTTAATCCTGCTCATTCTGCCAAAAATGTTTTCTGACATTCTTAATCCTCCTAATTGTGCCAGTCTCGGGTACAAAGATTAGGCAATTTAGTTTTAAAGACTTGTTCCTACTGCTAATAATTCATTTTTAATCTTACTTATTAAGTTTGAAACAAACAGCAAGGGATATTAATTAGTGGTAGCATCACATGTCCAGTTCTACAGGAGGTTAATCCAATTTTCTGAATGATAATCTTATGAAATCCTAATTTGCTGATTATCAAATTAATTATTGGTTGCATCACATGTTGACCTCTACAGGAGGTTAATCCATTTAAGTCCTAATTTGCCAATTATCACAGTATTACCTGTTTTGATACCCAGATATCATTGAAGGAGATTAATTCTGTTTACATATATCAATATTGAAATCTATGGAAATTGACTGTTCCACTTAGCAGGTTAATTTTTCAATATGGGGTGTTCACTGTTCAAGTTTGGAGGTGTTCCACTTACAGAGGTTCAATTAACATTAAGTCAATGGGTTTTTAAAACGGGACTTTGAAAAGGCGTTCCACTTGGGAGGTGTTCCACTTACAGAGGTGTTCCACTTAGCAGGTTCTACTGTACATTACTTGTGCATGATGACCACCATAGTCTAGTTGCTCAAATGAGATCAATTGATGATTATAATGTTTAGACTTTATGTCAATGTCGAGACTGTATGCCAAACTCTCTAGTATGTGATTACACTAGATTTCATTATGATACATGTACTAAATTGAAAACTTACATATAAAATATCTTAAGTCCTATATTCTAGTAATAAATGAATTAGAATGTCACCTAACATTTGATGATGGTATGAATTTATTGATTTGGTGTCTATCTATACATGTTTCTAACTTAATGCTGCAAAATGATAAAATTCACCGCATCCACTTTCTTCAATTTTCCAGGGGTAGGGCACTATAAAGTCATATTAAAATTACAAAAAAGTACTTCATAACTAAAATAGATGTATTACAATACCACACATAGCTTGGAAATGTTTTTAGAATACTACTATGAGCTTTTAAAGCTGTCATATTGTGCTTGAAGCTACAAATATAAAATTGGCAAGACAAAAATTGCATATCTTTTTCCTGTTTTTTGTATTTTTCTGAGACCAATAAGGGTATCAACCTATAACTTTAGGATAGTATTCATATTTGTACTAGCAATGTATGGTGTACAACTCAGAACAATAGCTCATATATCCTTTGAGTTATGAACTAGTTTCATAGTACCCCCTAGAATATTTTCCTAGGGGGGTAAAAATGACAAAATTTAGTGTCGTGACCACCCCGTTGAGCTGTCATCTTTTAATATCTTTATCAGCATGAAAAACTGATCTAGTAAAAATAGGTCTGTTGCTTTTTCTAAAAAATGCCTCAAAAACTTGAATTATTGGAATTGGAACCTGTCTATAGGCCAAATGTTTTGCATGATCTTTATCTGTCAAAATTAAGGCATCCTATGTAAGAGACATGCCAGTAATTGAGGCTATACTCCTAATGTTACACGGCGACACCCACATTTAAAGATGAAATTTTTCATTTCCTGATTACCTTCCTTTCTCGGTCTAATTCACCTCTTCGGTAGATACAGGAAATCCCCTTTGGACAATGTGTCAAAAGGATGAGAGTTATTAAATGAAATGTTAACAACGAACCTTTGGTGATTATTCACAGAATTAATTGGTAGATTAATCAGATTCCTTTGACGTCAGTTACTTTAAAACTAAACATGGGTCAGAGTGAACTTATATAAAATGTATGAAACAAGTGCACAATTTGGATGTAATGGAATTTAATAGCCTTGAGAGGGTTTGATGTCTAATACAATTATGATACTTAAGAAGAGAGAAAATACCTCGATTCACTGCTGAACAATTGAGAGTAAATTGATGTGACTGAATTGTTCTAAACCTTTAATGCACTTTGCGAGAAAAAATGACTGTATAGCTAAACACGATGATAATGATTTTCAAAGAAAAAGACTCAATCATCCACAATAACGCAGACAGCTGTCAACTTTTGAATGCAAGATTACAAGAAGGGAAGATGACATGCAGTAAATTATCAAGTCCTGATGAAGAAATCACGATGTCGAAGAGATATTTCAAGAATGAAAGATTACATTAATTATGTAATATTTGCTTCCTTGATCATATTAATCTTTCCAATATACAATCCTAGCTTCTTGGAATACGTGAAATAACAAAATGTAATGATTACAAACAACAAAACTAATAGGAAGCAGGTATTACATGAAACGAATCATCATAAGAAGCAATGAGTTATATAAAGCAAATATAACATGAAGTGAAGATGACATGTACCTCTGATTTAGCATCCTGGGCTGCGTACTTTCGCATAGAAATAATCTGTGTTGTAGCATCAGAGAGGATACAAACTCTCGCCAAATCATCGCCACATACTTTCAAACAGCCATCTAATGAGCTCATTATCAACCTATAATTAAGATCATATTACTAATTACCCAAGATTTTAAATCATTAATCATAAACTGACATTACAAAACTTTCTCATTTAGATCAGGATGTGGAGATGAAAATGCGATGATGATCGAATTTGAAAAACAATACTTGTTTGTTTTTCTATTGTTCCAGTTAAAGGCAGAATCAGATATATAGGGGTGACAAAATTACTAGCAACATGTAAAATTGACCTACCAATCTATTCATTATAATCTCATATACTATATCTCCAAATATTTAATGGTTGATCAATTTTTAGCAATGACATCTATTGCTGGTCAAGAACACTTATGTAATTGAAGTATTTATTAATAAACAAGGCATCAACATGCAAAATGTCACTACCTGCCATTTGTTGCCAAATGCAAAATATCAACCTCCGAACACTGTCCACAAAAAAAGTTGGAAATTGTATCAAAATGTCACCACTTCTTGAGGTGGTGACATAAAACAGTTGGAGATTATAACAATATGTTACCACTTGTGATGGTGACATAACAGCCCACCTGGCTCCTACATTTATGCACAGGCTGTGTAATTTACAGACCTACAGTATTCTGTCTTTCCATGTGCAAACAGAATATGCAGATAAGTGTGGTAATTACTACAGTGTATACATGTATTTCCGCCAATTCATGATATTAAAGTTACCATTGACACCTATAATAAGAAGTAATATCAATCCACCATGAATGTTAGTTCAGCTGTAATATAATTCCAGCTTTTAAATGGTAATGTTTTGAACAAACACAAGACAGAATATTGACATGAGACATCTCAGTTCTTCTAGGTAATCACCTATCATTAGTATCACATTCTAAGACATTATTCTAAGAATTTTACATCTTCAGGCAACCATGATGAACTTACTCAAGTATTGCTCATTTCTCAGTAACTTGGCTCTTAATAATTAGAAAATTTCTGCTTGATTTTCATTGTTTCTCACTTTTGTGTGAAATTATGTAAAGTTTAAATTTAAATGTGGTTCAGGATTATTCCTTGCAGTCTTTGTACTTTGTTTTTTATTAATGGACCATTATGTAACTTTATCTAAGGGAGACAACTGTCAACTGTCAAGTATGTAGTTGTTTACGAGATTTTCGGTTCAGCATCCATTTAATGTCTTTTGATCAATCAAATAGGACAGGTAATGGTCTCTTTGACATTTAGGAAAAACAGATTTTTCTGATAATTAGTTCGGGATATTGCATTGTCCTTATAATCCCTATAAATGTTGGATTAACCCAATATCCTAGACCTTCTATGGGATAATCTGCATTTAGGAAGCCTATCATCAATATGTTGCTATACTGAATTGCTTTACAGAAGCTGTACAATGGGATGCCAGGTAATTGAAACTGCCATGAATCCATCTTCGCACGCTCAGTCTTCACTGCGTTCATCCGACCGACGGGAGCTGAGTGAATGAAGATGCCATGAATCTAAAAGGGACTTGTATTGCTCTCAAAAAATTCCATGTCATCAAAGTGTGATGCTAATATCAGGCTATTCAACGACTATAGCTCATATCACAATTCAAGGTTGATCATTCATGGGCGTAGCGCTATATTTAGAGGTTATGTCACTATGACGTGAAATATGCCTGAGTTCTCCCAATATAGGCCGACCTTGGGAGGCTCTATATTTGGGCAAGAACGAAGGCATATTTCACGTCATAGTGACATAACTGATGTATTACATGCCTTTGTTCCCATGGTTACTTTGTATCAATGACGTGACGTCATGATATTATCATGGTTATTAAAGAAATCTAATATCAAAACGAGGTAAGCGGGCTATATCGGGGTAATCGGGCAATATCGGTGGATATAGCTCGCTAACTTTCCCATTGACTTCCATACAAATGCTTCGCTAGGTATGTTATACTTCTAAGTAGTACGCCACCGGGGAAACAAGAGTTGACCGAAGCAAAAAACGAGCGTTTAGGGGGGTCTGGGGGGTTCTCCTCCAAGAAAATTTTGAAATTTGGTTGTTTGGTGTGAATTTGCAACCATCTGGTACGCATGTGCGTACCCAGCGTACAGGGCGCTACGCCTTTGTCATTAATTCCAGAGTGTAAAATGAAATCATGACTCTAGGAAAGGGTAAGTTCCTACCTGGTTAGTGTGTAGTCTCCAGTGCACAGCCATACTTGTTTACGTCGGTTAGTGCAAACAATGTTTATCACCTGGTAGCCCATACTTAACTATAAACAAAGTGAACAATATATTATAGCGGGTTCATCAAGAGACGCTAGATAACAGAAATGCTAAGCCATAGCAAATTCAATTGAACAACCGTAGCTGCCATTTTAACAATCCCTCTACTACTTTTTCAGTTATAGCAAAAATAATGAGCTCATAAAAGAACACATAAAAATGGCCACAATTTTTCAAAATAGTCGCTTACTAGCCAAATTGTCAAAGTGTTATATAAGATGCTCTTAAATGGAGACACATATAGAATTTTAACAAAATCACACCAATACTTTTTTAGTTATGGTAAAAAACGTAAAATATGTTATTTTATGTTTTTACTTGCCAATGTGTTTAAGACAATGAACCATGCTTATGAGTATTCACATGTCAAATATGAATGAAATCGTTCAACTAATTTTCCAGTTACAGTAAAAACTAAAAATCATAAAATAGTGTGTAACGGTCACCATTTTTCAAAATGGCCACCATGGTATTTTTGATATTTAGATTTTCAACTCAATCAATATCCTATTTAATTTTTACATTTAAAAGACATTAATATTACAGGTTTATATTTTGTACCTAAAATACTGTAAAACTGACACTCAAATGGTGGCCATTTTGAAACTGGCAACCATTTTGAAAATCCACTTTCGAGCAGTGCTTGTACTCTCATGGGGCATATACATATAAAATATTGACAATATATTGGACGGTCCAATGGTACTTACTGCCTGGATGAACAGATTTCCGTTGAAAAGTTTACAATATTGGGAGGTTGTCAACTGAGGGTGAATCATCCAAAGGATGCATGAGCCAATATAAATCCTTGTTTTAGTCCTTACAGTTTTATTTACTATTTAAGACATTTCATAGGATCATGGTCTGTACATATACTTGATACTTAAATCAAAATTTCCCAATAACACACAAATAGAGGGATTCTGAAACTTCACCAATAAAAGGTGAAATTGATTTTTACAAATTCATAGTGATCTATACTACACTATTACTACATAAACAGAGGTATTCCCCCACTGACCCCAACCTGTGTACCCTTGAGTATTATTCCAGGATCGCGCCTTTTATACTAAACAGTGAACAACACAAAAACAACTGTTCGATTTGTTTAAACGATATGTGTTACCCTTTAAAATCAGAGGAAGGAATACCTGACGAAACCATAATTGCGAAATAATGATCAGAAATCCACGCACTAATAACTGACCTACTTACTAATTGAGGTAACATTGATTTCTAAGTACTAAGATAAGATTATTCTGATGTTCAGTATCAATCAACAAAAACCTCAAGTCCAGAGAATAAGAGATGCAACTGATTAGACTTACATGGTACATAGCATTCTGTACAGTCAATTACCAAGAATCAATAAGTTGTTTTTTCTAGAACTACTCTCAATTTGATGGATAAATGTTTGAGACCATTGAACCCAGGTGTGTCAAAGAGGCACTTAATGTCTTGTAAATGAAATGACTTACTGAAATGAAATCAATTTCTCTGAAGGCGATTCTCCTGTCCAAGTCCAGGTTATTCATCTTTGGATGTAGAATGTAGATTGCAATTGACGTTAAAAGCAGGAATTTGGTTTCAAGCTGTCCCTCGGTGTGTCCTTGAGTCAAAGCAAACATCTAAAAAGCGATCAGTGATTTGATTAGATATCATTTCTAAGATTAATTATTTTAAGTAGGTGATTTATCTAAAAGAGAGGACGAATCATACAGTGGGGGATAATCGCTCTTAATAGACAAATCAGTCGGCATACACAAAGCCTAATCAGGTCTCGATTATCATACTATGGGTCATCCCTGATACTATAATTGATTCAATATCTGAAACAGTCAAACTGCAAACATAATAGTGAAGTTCTAAAATGGCTGGATTAGAATCTCAAAATGGCTGTCATGTAGTTTAATTAACATGCTCAATTTGTCTAGTTTAAAAGGGGACATAATCGTGTCGGAGGAGTTATATAAAAATAACTTTTGTGGAATAACACCATATAAATTATCACAATCGGTAGTTTTAAGACAAGCATTCCACCCACTCTCCTACCTACTTAGTCAATAGGACAAGAAGATGACACAATAGCACATTTTACGTGTGATGATAACAAACATCTTAAGAGTAGTTAATGGTCTTTACGTATATATAACTGATGACTTTACGTAAATAGCAATTGCATTTATTAGATGGAATTTGAAGCTAAGAAGAGGAGGTAATTTATATAATTTAACTCATCAACACTCTCTGTGTCAGCCTATGGCAATTTCCTCTCAAATAATTATCTTCTGAGATGTCAAGATAGCAGTAAATTATGTCAAGATAGCAGTAGATTATGTCAAGATAGCAGTAAATTACGTCAATTTACGTGAATTTAAGTTCAGCTTTCCTAGTATTACCTTTGTATAATTATATTTCCTCTTCAGGTATTTTCTGTAACAAATCTTATTTCTCAGAATCAGAACTGATGTAGGTATGTGTGAATTCTTTAAGTTATAAATGTAGATAAAAATAAATAAATATAACACAATTCTATGGGAAAAAAGTATTGACACATAATTAATTGTTGTGTTTTTTAAATAAGCTAAAGCCCATCGTAGTGTTTTTAAAAATAGGTAATGCCTATTGTAGTATATTTTTGAAATTAGGTACTGGATTGTGTTGTATGTTTTTGAAATCAGGTATTACCTTCTGTAATCACGCGTACTTCAGTACTAACTCACCGGGGCGTATCGAAACCAAAACGCCCCGCAAAACCGTTAATTTGAATTTCAAATCTACCCTGTCTTTGGAAAATCAATGATTGTGAGTCCCACACTTCACCGTTTATCTTCAAACTTGTTTGTTTACAAAGTCCCTCGTTTTAGTGGCATTTTGGTCCCCAGATGTGAGAAGCTGCAAATCCTCAGGAATTTCAACCACAATCCTTGATATCTCGCCAGTTCTTCTATCACTCTCCCCCATATTCTGCGCAAGGACTCCCATAACAACCCTCCATCGCTGCATCAACATGTTTATTACATGAAACGCAGCAATTCTGAAAAGTCCTACGCAATTGTTCGAAATTGACCAAAACGCACCATTGTCTTCCAAAACACCAGAGATGGAGGGTTGTAATGGGAGTCCTTGTGACCTTGTGCAAAATATAGGGGAGAATAATAAAATAACTGGCGATACATCGAGGCTTTTGGTTGAAATCTCTGAAGATTTGCATCTTCTCACATCTGGGGACCAAAACGCCGCTAAAACAGGCGACTCTGTACACAAAAGCAATGTCTCGAGTGAAAGGTATTTCTGTGAAGGTTTTAATGGAACAAGTTTGAAGAAAAACAGTGTACTGTGAGACTCACAATCAATGATTTTCCAAAGAAAGGGTAGGTTTAAAATTCAAATTAACGGTTTTGCGGGGGGTTTTGGTTTTGATACGCCCCGGTGAGTTAGTACCGCGTGATTACAGAAGGTAATACAAGGGCCGATCAAAAAGTTTCTTACCGTTGGCTCCCAATTTTATAATAAGAGGAGTTGGAAGCTCAAACTTTAACATGAGACAGGATAGTTAGTTTGCTCGAAACTGTACGAGATTTATATAAATTGGTTCATTGGTAGTGACACAGCGTCAATTCATATTTTCAATGACAAAGTAAGGTGGAGTAGTGTTATAACAATAAAATATCTGCCGAGTTGTGGTTCTGGAAATTTACCGACATCGTCTCAAACCTCTCATACATGTGTTTTTGGATCGAGTGGGCAGATATAGAAAGTGCATTGCAACTGGGGTTGAATATTTTGAATGAGAATGAATATTAGCAGAAAAACTAATTAAACATGATTAAACTACAGTCTGTTGACAGATGACACTACTTGGTGTTAGAAAATTCCAAAACTGCAGCTGAGCACAATTTTTTTATAAAAAACGCTGCTCCACCTAATTCAATCATTGAAAATATGTATGGACTCTGTGTCACTACCAATGAACCAATTTAAATGAAACTCAGACAGTCTCAAGCAAACTTACTACCATGACTTATGTAAAAGTTTGAGCATCCAACTCCTCTTATTATAAAATTGAGAGCCAACGGTAAGAAACTTTTTGATCGGCCCTTGTACCTGATTTCAAAAACATACAACAAAATCCAGTACCTAATTTCAAATTAGGTATTGGATTTTGTAACTGATTTTGAAAATTGGGTATTGCCTTTTGTCATTGTTATTGAAATGAGTGTTGCCTTTTGTAGTATGTTTTTGAACTTAGGTATTGCCTTTTTGTACATTCATGAAATTGGGTATTGCCTTTGGAATATCCCACCTTAGTGAACTGTTCGTTCTCACTCTGAAACACATTCAGCATCAGATGCAGCTTCATATTGTTGTCTAGCCTGGAATATAGAGGCAATAAAATAAAACTCAATCAGAGAAAAGATGTCATCACTGAATGTGCAGAGAAAAGCTCAATTCTATCAATTCAATTCCATTCAAAGTATTTATCGTAAGAACAGTAGACATGAACAATCTCATATTACCTGGCAATTAGAGAGATGAAAATTTAATCACTAAAAATTAATTCAATTATTGGTATTTCAAATTGTGTCTATTGGGTTTCCTGGTTAAGTGTCATATTTTTTTAATTGAAATTTGATGATCGATGTATGTTTGATGTATGGTTGTAGAGTTCTTTCTTAGAAGATGGAAATCTGCATATTTCATTGTTATACAGGAGCTTACTTTCCCAGTCATTTTAATAAAAACAGTTGTGTCCTAGATGGTAACATGCACATCTGATGGAGATTAAACATGAACATATTCCTATATCTGTGATTGAAGGATATGAAACTTTATTATATATGTATAAAGAATGTTGAACACTGAAATATTATACAGATTTCAATCACAAATATAAACCATTTTTTCCGATTCACTTACTCAATGACAGCTGGATGTGGCTTTTTAATATCTTCCCCTTTGTGTTCCTCAATTCTCTCATTGTCATGTTGATCACTCTCCACTAAAGAACTTTGTGCCTGTTGGCTGCCTTCAGATTCCAGATCAGACTCAGTTTGATCACTTGCTTTGCTCACATAACCACTCTCATTGTAGATATCCTTTTCTATTGAGTCTGTGTCTGCATCATTTGGTTTAGTATCGATTTCCTCAAATTCCTCATTTAAGTTGTGTTTTGCATGCGGATTGTATTGAGATCTGTTTATAGGTTTAGGTTTTTCAGGAGTGTCTTTGGGATTGGAGTAGATACTTGTAAAGTCAGCTGATGTCTCCAGCTTATCGGCACTAGCATTATCATCATGTTCTTTTGAATTGTCTTTGATATAAGCACCTTGAGTATTTTCGATCACATGATTAAGCATTTCATTTATTTTAGTAGGACTTTGATCTTCTAGAATGTTCTGTATCACATCTATGTTTTGTACTGCATTGTCAGTCTCATCATGTGACTCTTCGATTGCACTTTGCTCCATTTCAGGATTTCTATTATGTTCATACTGCATTGATTGGGTTTTGTCTTTAATCTCTTTCGGTATTGCATCTTTGGTTGCATCAGTTACTTCATTATCCTTCTCATTGGAAGTAACATTTATATCATGTAAGACACTGTCTTCAACTTTTGTGACTAGTCGTTCAAGTGCATCATTTTCAATGCCAGCTGGACCTCTGGCTTGATCTCCTTCTTGATCTTGATCCCCCATTGGATCACCAGATGGATCACCAGCAGATTGAACATCTTCAACATTTGAATGAGCTTTGAAAGTGATCCCAGGATCATCTTCATTAGGATTATCACCTGTTTCAAACTCCTGATTATGAGAATCCTCATGAATACTAGGAATGCCTTCATTAAAACTACCCCTTGAACGATTTGAATGAACAGAGACACTATCAGAACAAGATCGACTACTCCGACTGCGGCTTTTCTTCAATTTTGATCCTCTACGTTTGACTCGTATGACCTCAAGGACATTGTCACCTTCTCCTGGGATATCATCAGACATGATGCTGGAGACACGGTGAATACGGCTCTCAGTGAGACCAGGGGAACTTGCTGAATATACAAAGGCTGAATCTGATGCTCTACTACTTGACACAGAGGTAGCACTGGATGACCTTGACCTTTCTGGCCCAATAGCCATTTCCTAGAATGAAAATATAAAAGTGTTCCAAGACTGTTCTAAAACACAAGAACTATTTTCAACCCAAGACCTGTACCTAATGACTAAGCATACACTGTATAGCAATTCACACTGGCTGATAGCAATAGGTATGCAATATTGATGGTAAGGATAAGGTCATGGGTTCAATCTCCTTTGTGGTGGACTAACTTTCAAATAGACCTTTGAACAGGATTTCATGTTTTTAGGAACTAATCTAAGATAACATATCATCAACTTTATAAATAATGTTATCTAATGTTGTAACTTTCCTTAAATATAAACCAGAGATAAAATTCTTTTCTGCTTTTCAGTATGTAGTAAAATGATGAATGTGAATAAAGAACAAATTGCTTGAGACATCTTGTGCAAACACATCAAAGTTCATCTAACCGTAATGTTCTACACTTGTAAGACCTGAAAGCTTGGAGAAAATACGACTCCATTAACTCCATGAAACAACTACAGTATATAGTCGTTACACTGATTCAATGTTATAGCTACCTGTGCCAGGTGGGAACTTGTGGTAGAGGAACTATCATCACTCTCTGGTTTCACATCATCTTCCTTAGTTGGTGTAGGTCTGTAGCTTGATAGATCAAGATAGGGCTGGTTCTGCAATACAATGCAGTTACATGTGCATTTAAAAATGGTATCGTTTGGTAGACTCACATGGAGATTCCTTATGCTCATTTTAAAAAGGTCAACAAAAGAAGGTCAAATCCCAAAAGTAGGTCACATTAGAAATATATATCTTGAACTCATACAAGAGGATAATTGAATATGATCAAAATAATATGCCCATCATTAAGTTATCCACTGGTGTAAATTACCAGTATGGACCCCCATAAAGTGGATATGAGCAATAGTTCTGAAAATACCGTTTTCATTTGTCTGAAGATTGACGAAGGATGGCCAAATAGACTTTAAAGCCAGAAGAACATTTTTTGAACCAAGTTTTATCAGCTTTGAAGTACAGTGTGCCTTTAATATGGGTGTATAATTTATTAATTGTGATGTTAATGAAATTGTAATAGAGGAACGGTAAAGTAATGAAATGTTTCATTTATAATGGAAATGCCAACATGTTTACCATGTCTAGCTGAAATACTGCATGCTCCAATCCTGACAGGAGGGTGACCAGGACCTCCAACCTCTGAAACATTGAAAAATATATATACACTATACAGTATATATGCTCTACAGTACATGTACAGCACATTTCTCATCTGAAACATGCCTAAAACTAATTTGGGGAAGATTCAATGTATATACTTCTATACCGCCCAATATAAATGGTAGTCTACCAAGCCAACTAGGCTTCCCTTCTCTGGCTGAATAGTCTGATTATGTTTCAACATGAATGATGAATACCTCAATCAATTCTCTTTCATGAAGATTGGTGAAGAAACCTTTGATTTAAAGATTAATGACATACTTTTAGTTTTAATGACTTTAACACACGAATGGTACATATTAACAATGAGTATTAAGTAGCCAAATATGTTCTCATATACACTGGGAACCAATCCAATTATAGATAATAATTTTCATATCAGTGAAAAAAAGATGTCAAAAAACATATTCATTTCTTTCTTTCAATAGACATCCATCTCATCATTTTCATTAATGCAAAAAGAACTGATTTGTATATTGAACAAAACTGGATGATTTATGATGAGCATGCACAAACTAATGATACCTCTTGGTCAAGCATGAGTGCTTCTTTCAAGTACACTTTCTTCATGAATTTGGTTGAATTCCCAACAAGCCTCAGGTAGCTCTCTAGCAGGCAGTCATTCAATGCATGGTACATCCAAGCTCGACCTGAAATTTTGGAGTAAAATATTGGTTGCAAAAGTGGTCTGTTAATGCTTTAGTAGAATAATGAAATTCTGGCATAGAATGAATGAGTTAAAGACTTTTATGTTTTATTTACGTGTAACACTAGAATTAGTGAAAAAGTATTTTTGATTGGTGCAAGACATGTTGCATTCTAATAATTTTCAGAAACTTATTTGTGAAAATTCTATTTTGCAAGATTTCATTTGTCCACAGTTCATATTTTGCTAACTTTGAACAGAATTTAATCTTATTAGACTGCACATGTAATTCATTTGAAGTGCTTTTAGATATACATATACATGCCATTCTCTCCCATACATACCTCTGCCAAGGTTTGTAGTGACTTGCTTCAAGGCTTTGATTTCTTTTATAATATCTTTGTGAGTAAATTCAACACTCAGCTTCCAATAGCCATTTGTAATATTCTTCAATCTAAAATAGAAATGATTGTCATGTAATTGTCTGATTGTATTGTTGGGCTGGCAAGCCATACTTATTTTGTATTACGTCATGATCGGGGCTTACGCCATATTGAAATAAACTGGACAAAGTCAGCCAATATATCTCTTAGTGTTATTCTAAATATAACGTAACAGAACATGGTGTCAAACGTTGGATGCGAGCCTACGGGGATATAAAACCACAGAGAAAAAGTAGGACATGTAAAACTTGTCTGAAAGTGACCAGATTAGAGGTATTTTTGGTGTTTAACTTTGATTGCCGGTGAAATTTTGTGCAAATTTCGAGCATGACATTTTGCGCACGACACGGATTACATCATTGCTTTGCTGATATGTGCACACGACACGGATTACGCCATTGCTTCGCGGAGATATGCAAATGACATGGATTGCGTCATTGCTGCTGTACTACAGTAAGAATTGGAGTCCAACTGATATTTAAACTTGTGAACTGTACTTCTACTCTTGTGTATTAACTATCGTGATTATATTGTCATCTTTGGATTATTATAATGGCCAAGATACAGCCTCCAAACCCTTTTAACTTTGATAAACCCAATGAGTGGATTGCTTGGAGAGAACGGTTCCTGAGGTTTAGGCTAGCTACAAAACTTAACAAAGAGGATGATATTACACAAGTCAGTCAACTTATCTATATTATGGGCCAATCCGCAGAAGACATATACAAACAGTTTACGTTTGAGCCCTTACCAGTTGCTGAAGATGGCCAAATACTTGATCCGCCAGACAACAGGTACAATTTTGATGCCGTTTTGGGCAAATTTGATAACTATTTTGTGCCAAAGATAAACATTATTCATGAACGAAGGGTCTTCAACCTTAGACAACTGGGAGAGTCAGAAACAATGGAGGAATATATCCGAGATTTGTATAAACTGAGTCAACATTGTTCATTCGTTGACAGAAACGAGATGATTCGCGATAAGATCATCGTTTCCATCAAAGGCAGAGACTTGTCAGAGCGAGTCCAGACACTTGCCATGACGTGTGATCTCACTCTAGAGAAAACTATTGAACTAGTTCGTAGTCATGAACTTATAATATCACAGTCTCAAGCTGAAGGGAGACCTACTGATACAAGTAACGTTGATTTTGTTCGTAAGCGACCCCCGCAACAGAGAGCTACACGACAAAACTACAGAAAACAAGACCAGGCACAACACAAAGCAGACAAACACAAGTGTGACAGATGTGGCTACATTCACAGAAATGATAAATGCCCTGCTAAAGGAAAAACCTGTCATAATTGCAAGAAATTAAATCATTTCTCAAGTGTGTGTAAATCAAATAAGAAATCTGTTGATAAAAGAGTTGTACATGAATGTTATGATGAATGTGCTGATGCCGATCTTGACACTACTGAGTTTCATGTAGGTGAGCTTGTGCATTTGGTTGATTCTGCCAAGTCACTGATTGTAGATAGGCACACAGAGCCACCATGGCGTGTGACCTTACCCATTTGTGGTAAATTGATGAGTTTCAAGATCGACACAGGCGCTGATGTAAATGTTATGAGTAACAAAGCATATGAATGCCTTACACCAAAACCTAGGTTACAAAGGCATGATGGTCCTCCACTGAAGTCAGTAGGTGGGGTAATAGATACAAGAGGTTATTTTATAACAAATAGCAATCTTGATGGTACCAAATTCTCAATGAGAATATTTGTATTAAATGGGCCAAAGTGTGATAACTTATTATGTCGCAGATCTGCTAAAATGTTGAATCTAGTTACTAAAAATGTACATGTTGTAACTCAGACCTCTCAGAGCGAGGCAGGTAAAATTGGTTCTGATCCTGGTAACCATAGAAATAAAATTCCAATTCCCCCTAGTAACAATACTTCTGAAATGCCAGGTCATGTAAAAGACCCCATAAATGATAATGAATTGTATGGGGAAGTGGGTACAATGAAATGTGAGCCTGTCAAAATTGAGTTGAAGCAAGATGCTGAACCATATGCTGTCGTGGTACCTAGGCGCGTTCCATTTCCTATAATGAAACCATTACAAGAAAAACTCGAATCAATGGAATCAAATGGTATTATTGCCAAGATAACTGAGCCTACTGAGTGGTGTTCACCCATGGTCCCGGTAGTCTCAAAGTCAGGAAAAATTCGCGTGACGGTTGACTTTAGAAAACTTAATAAATCAGTTAAGCGCGAGAGATTTGTCCTACCAACCATTGACTGTATATTACAGAAACTTTCGGGAAGTTCTGTCTTTTCAACCCTCGACGCCACAGGAGGTTTTCATCAAGTGCCACTTAGCGAGGTAAGTCAGCGTTTAACAACGTTTATAACACCCTTCGGTCGTTATGTATACAAGAAGATGCCACAAGGCATATCGCTTGCTCCAGAAATCTTTCAAAGAGAAATGTCGCGCATTTTGCAAAATTGCCCTGGAGTAGCAGTATTCATGGATGATATTATCGTTCATGGTAAGAATGTTGAAGATCATGATAAAAATCTCAAACAAGTCTTACAGAAAATCAAACAGTCCGGTCTAGTTCTCAACAAGGCGAAGTGTCATTACCGGAAGCCCGAGCTCGTATTTTTAGGGCATAAAATTAGCGCTAATGGAGTCTCGCCAGACCCAGCCAAAGTCGCCGCGATAGTGGAAATGGAAATTCCTGAAAATGTTGAAGAATTACGACGATTCTTAGGCATGATAAATTGGATAGGTAGGTTTATACCAAACTTATCTACAATGCTTCACCCATTGAATGAACTTTTGAGAAAAGACACAATTTGGACATGGGGAAAAGCACAAATGGATGCCTTTGAAACAGTGAAACAGAAGGTAAGTAGTAAGCCTGTTCTAAAATACTACGACATCAATAAGCCATCGCGTGTTAGTGCTGACAGTAGCTGTTACGGGTTAGGCGGTGTCTTAGAGCAACAGCATGGAACAGATTGGTTTCCTGTTCATTACTGTTCTCGTTCATTAACTGATGCCGAACGCCGCTATGCTCAAATTGAAAAGGAACTTTTGGCAGGGGTGTGGTCAATGGAAAAATTCAGTCAGTATTTGGTCGGACTAGAATCATTTGTATATGTGACTGATCACAAACCTCTGGTGCCAATTATAAATCAAAAGGATCTTGATCAAACACCGGTGCGATGCCAGAGAATGCTAATTCGTCTCATGAGGTTTAATTGTATCGCTGAATACAGACCCGGAAAGACATTAGTCATAGCAGACACATTGTCTAGAAAACCGCTTAGTAGCATGGAATCAAACACTGTAGAAAGTGTGACGGAATATGAGAGTTTCATATATGATAACCTACCAGTCGCGAAGTCGCGTCTTGAGAATATTCGTGACTTGTCACAGATTGATCCCGAAATCTCAACAGTCATGAATTATGTTCTTCATGGTTGGCCGGAATATTACAAAGACGTGAAAGAAGTTGCCAAGCGATACTATGATTGTAGAGAATCCTTGAGTGTTGTCAATGACATACTTATGTATGGTAACCGTATCACTATACCGGCTGCATGTCGCAATAATATTCTTGATCAAATTCACGAGGGTCACTTCGGAATTCACAAATGCCGTGAACGCGCCAATGCGACAGTACGGTGGCCAGGGCTTACATCACAAATCAAAGAATTGGAGGCCAAATGTAAGCACTGCCAAATTTTGAAACCTAAACAGAGAAGTGAACCATTAATTCCAACAAAATTACCAGATCGCCCCTGGCAGCAATTAGCAACTGATTTATGTGAATGCTTCAAGAAGCAATATTTAGTCACAGTTGATTACTATTCCCGGTATCTAGAAATTGCTCATGTTAGGGGTAGTGTCACAACAACTCAAATCATAAACAAACTCAAAAAGATATTTGCCAGGAATGGTATCCCTGAAGTGTTAGTATCAGATAATGGACCACAGTTTAGCTCAAAACAATTTGCAGATTTCACAAAAGAGTTTGATTTTAAACATGTAACATCAAGTCCCAGATACAGTCAAAGTAACGGTCTCGCAGAAAGAGCCGTCCAAACTGCCAAACGTATTCTCAAATCAGAAGACCCCTTAAGCTCCCTTATGAATTATCGGGCCACTCCAGTCAGTTCTACAGGTAAAACGCCAAGTCAATTACTCTATGGTAGACAAATCAGAACTAAACTGCCAGTTTCGCCTGAGAATCTAAACCCAAATTGGCCTGATAAACAGGAAGTTCAAAACAATGATGCTAAAGCAAAATCACTGTATGCCAAACATTTTAACAGATCTCATGGTGCAAGAAAACTTGAGAAACTGTCCCCTGGACAGTCTGTGAGAGTGAAGCTTGATCAGGAAAAGGCATGGAGTAAACCATATAAGGTTCTCAATCAAGCTCACACTCCTAGGTCATACATTATCAAAAGTGACAGTGGAACTTTGTTCAGGAGAAATCGTAGACATTTGATGCCAACAGGCCATGATCCTACTCCTACTCCTGAACGGGGTTCTAACATGCTTAAACCAATGGTGTTTTTGTCAAGCAAACATCCCAAGGAGGGAGGGATGGATAGTGGTGGTCAAAATACTAATAATGTTCCACTTACTAGTAATACTACACCAGTCTCTCATAGCTCTATTATCACTGAACCAAGTTCTAGTTCTCCATTAAGGAAATCAAAGAGGATTGTAAATCAGCCAAAATGGCTCAAAGACTATGTAACTTGAAATAATACTTTTCATGCATATAAACTGTCAAGTCTCATAAGACAGTAGTGTACATTCAGACATTAAATGATTAAAGCTCATAATAATGTACACATAGTTAACAGTTTGTTTAGATAATGATTTTTATAAAATGTTCAAACAACACAGATTGGTGTGGATTACGTTTTATAATGCATGTTTTATTTTAAACATTTGTATTGATTATATGTTAGACAATCTTTTGTTAGAGATGTGTATAAGAAAAACAAAATCAGCATACAGTATTTTCTACTACCGTATTCAACATGATAAGTGCACAGGATGAATACAGGTTTAAGACATGGACTCATAAGCAGTGAATATTGACTTTATACCCTGCTATATATATCTACAGATGAAGACTCTCAAAATTGTAGACACTTTTGAACATTTAAACATAGGCCTATAGACTGATAAAATTACTGTATCATTCAAAAAGAAAAAAAAGGAGATGTCATGTAATTGTCTGATTGTATTGTTGGGCTGGCAAGCCATACTTATTTTGTATTACGTCATGATCGGGGCTTACGCCATATTGAAATAAACTGGACAAAGTCAGCCAATATATCTCTTAGTGTTATTCTAAATATAACGTAACAGAACAATGATTATATCTCTTAAATTCACAAGAGGAAATAATAAATACAATTAATCTATTCACATCAAATACTGGTCTTTAGAACTGACATGTTCTATTGTTACACTAATACATATTGACAGGTTTTTTCAAACTACTAGTTCTCAACTGGGTGTAAAATTTGTATCTTTCTGTCACAATTCTGTTTTAAACCTATGCGGTTCTTCTTTTTTCTTTGTGAAATAACATATATTTCTATTTTTCAAAACAGAACAAATGAAGCATCACTGATACTAAATCAATTACAAATATTGTCATGAGTCAGACATTATGCAAGCAAGAAACGGCCTCGCTAAAAAAATGTCATAGAATATTTTTCAGGCATCTTTTCACATAAAACTGTAGAAAGAAGTCAATAAAGCAAGCCACGACTCAATAATCATTCATAATATGCTGTTGATTATACAAAATGTAAACTCATTTACATGAAATAGATGTTTAAAAGATTTTGTATAAAAGCTTGGAATTAAATGGCCTGATTTGTAATGATTTTCTAAATTTTTAATCTGGTGGACCAAACACTTTCAACTTCAAACACATCTAATCAAATGGACATAGTTTCACTCAGCAATGACCCTAAGATTATCTATTTTGTCTGGATGTATTCAAATTCAATTATCTTGCAAATCCTCAAACTAAATAAACATGAAGATTGTATTGATATGCTTTATCTCCAAATATACGCTTTACTTATTACAATATAAACTGAACCAGCTCTGTATTACTTCCTTTGGTCGGGACCAGTGACTTTGTTTGGTTGTGGATGCATATCATTCTGATAGTCAACCACTGAGATGTTTACTGAAGGCTTAATATTAATGTGGGTGTATCAGGTGTTTGTTTACCTAGTTCATATTACATAACTCCCACAACATAAAGTATAGCACATACCCATGTAAAAGTGCATGATCTAAGTGTTGACATAGTTTATGCACCTGCCAGTCCTCAATACCAAGTGTCACAACATCTTCCCCACTGTTGCACTTAGATTGGATCTGAAAGAAACATTTCAATTACATGTAAATATGGTTTAGTAATCAATGAAAATACAATTGGGTTTCTGGAAATCAAAAGTCAATAAACAAATTGCATACCCCACAGTGCACTTTGAAAAATTGAAATAAAGCACTGGAGAGAACTGATATACTATAGCTACCCTGTTCTGAGATCAGGCGTCAGTTTCTCAAAAAATAAGAATATCAAGTCCTGGAATTGTTATATTATATTCGTTCTCAGGCTCATCACATTCAAAAGGACAAGACAAATGTAATCTATTGTCAGTGGTCCTAGATCTATTTTGCTTTGCAATTTTTAAACCCCTTAAAAGAATGAACATTTTCAACTCAATTAAATTCAGTCGATATCAAGTGGAAGAGATCAATTTTTGCAATATGATACCTGAAAGTATGCTGCATTGAAATCAAATTATATTGTTTTAAAAAAATTACACAATGGGATTATCAACATAGATATACTGAAGGTTATCTAATACAGCTGTCTTGAAGGTGAACCTCCATCCTATTGAATGAAGTTATTTTCTAGCATTGGCTCTCAACTAGCTAGAAAGCCCCCATTTTCTAGCTACTGTACTGCTTTCAAGTCACTTCATATTTACCAAGATACTCTCTTGATAATTGCGAATATTCCATAGATTTCATAATAATCTTATTCCCCACTGAAGAGTCTGTGGGTTGTAATGCTGGGTTATTTGTGCATACAAGTTATCTTGGCAAATTGTAAAAATTTGAATTCCTGTTTCAGAGCTACAGTTTGAAAGATGAGTTAGCTCAGAAGAGAAAGCTGAAGCTGTGAAACCTTATCAAGTACCACGACTATTATAAGTTGAGGGATAGTGAGTATTTTTTATGTACTGTATAAACATGTAATTATTAAGATTTTGTAGTTTGGGGCATATCTTTTACATTGAAATAACATACCTCAATACATTCTTGAACTTCTCATGTAAGTCTTAATTTGCTAAGAACCCAAATCGGATGGATTTATTAAGATCTTTTAGTTTTTAGATTGGATTTCATTCATTGCACCACAAGTCAAGATGGAGGAAGGCTATAGTAGGGAACTCTCCGTTAACTCTGTATCTGGTGCTACAAATGCACATAGCCAATATGTACCAACAATAGATGGAGGAATTTTGATGTACAATGTTGAACACGCAAAAATTGCTATTCAAAATGAAATTATTTCATTCTGTCGATAAACTCAGACAACTGAGAGTTTCAACTACACAAAAAGAATCCTAGATTACTCAGGAATTCGTTGAGGTATGCTATTTTTCAGTACTATGTTCCTAACTACCAAATCACAATCCAATGGGTGGACAGACATATAACATCATACTCCGGTAATCTACTGGATATAGAATGTGTATTGGAATCAGGACAAGCAGATATAAAAAAGCTAAAATACATAGGTCTATAAATATGTATATAATAAAAAGGATCTAGTTGAATTCACCATACACAAAGTTTACCTTCTAAGGCCACTGTATCGTGGCCTTCCAGTACAGATATATTCTTGCATGAACAACTGGTCATGTCATAATCATAAAATTTGAAATCATATGTCCGCCATTTTTCTACATCACAATTTGAATTGCCAGTTTTGGTCTTATTACCTCACCAAAAATTCCAAAACACACATAAAGTAATCAGTGTATTAGTTTACATCTTCTGGATCGCTAACTTAGAATCTACAGCCAGTTACTAATGTCAGACGTTAACGACATTTCGTCCAGTTTTCGAACATCGCCATTTTTCTTGGAGCCATTTTGTTTTAATTTTAGACAAAATCCTGATGAAATCATGTCATATCTCATCAAGGAGCCGAGCTGGGTCCGGTTTGATTAATAATTTATTTATCTGGCGATTTTTAAAATATTCAATAAATTTATGACACCACGGCCAGCTTTTTTCAAATAGAGTTCACAGTATTCCAGATGAAAGGCTTTGTATAAAAAACCTCCTACCCACGTACCCTCGTACCCACGTACGTGGGTCCTGACCCAGTCTTTAAAGAGTTAAATCTTTAACATTTTTAAAACATTATTCTATCTCAATGTATGCTTAATTATGGATGAATTTATGTACCCATATGCCTTTATTTCTAGATCGGACATCTGTCTCGTCATAAAATAAAGCCGGCATTGCATAATGTTCATTTGAGCTATTTGAGTGTTGTTTTTGATATATCGAAGCGATTTTTTGTTGATCGGGCAGTCTTACAGTGTACAACCAATCTATTGCTTGGCGCAAATTGGCAACATGGGGCATGTGTTGTAAAGTGCTGTAGTTTTTGACTCCATGAGCAGAATATGGTCAAACTTTCACAACAAAATTCACATTGAATGACCTGAATGATTCTGGATTGACGAAGTTATTCAACTTTTCATCGGTCCTGTTTTTTAACACCCTGTAGTTTCGATTTTTATCACATACTTTTTATTCTTTCAAACGATATTACAAGTATTCATTGTTTGCACGACAGATTTGAACTATACGTGTAATTTGTCTTATGTCTTTTATTTAATTTAACATCAGAATTGGAGATACAAAGTGATAGAGTGATCAATTCACACGATCTCAAGGAATAATAAAGGCTGCATTTCTGTTTAACCGTGGCGCAATTGAATAACGAAATATTTGAAAAGTAGAAGGATTCGCTATATTCGTTTTTAATCGCTTTTTGGCACAATTTAAGGATAATTGTGCGCACTAGTTCAGTGAATCATTTAGATGGAATTGAAAGTTAGAGTTGCCAAACTTATGCAGGGGAGTGTAAGTTTGGTTTTGTAAACTTCGACATTATTCATGGCCGTTTGATCCATAATTAGGTAATATGAAGAGTAGCGTTTTATTTTGACAATGATTTGATGTAAAACTGGTTTGAATGATAAAAGTTCAGCTTTGTAGTTTCTAGCTTTTTGCGCGTAAAACGTGAATACAATGGACAACAACGACACCAAATCTTTGACTAACATACGTTAATAACGTATAATATTCGTAGGAATGAATTCTAATAACATTTGAAATAAACATCTAATAAAATGTGGTGAATTTAATTGGTTGGAAACTCTAAGAAATATATTTTTAAAAAGATGTCAACTTTTGGACAAGGGTAAACTTCCCGGGACATTTACAATCTGCATGAGGTAACAGGAGGCACGGATTGCACTGAACGAAGGCTAGGAGATTGCTAATCAGCACTGATGTGTTATACAGGTAAGACTGCCCGATCAACAAAAAACATTTCGACATATCAAAAACATAAATCAAATAGCTCAAAAATAGTGAACATTTATGCAATTCCGGCTTTATTTTATTTTACTAGAGAGATGTCAGACCTATAAATAAAGGCATATGGATGCATAAATTCATCTATAATTCAGGATAAACTGAGATTGAATAATGTTTTAAACATTTAAAAATTTAACTCTTTAAAGACTGGGTCAGGACCCACGTACGTGGGTACGAGGGTACGTGTAGTATGTATCCAACAGACTGACTAGAAGTCAGTCTGTTATGATGTACTACTTTCCTGTGGAAATTGCAGTGAAATTTTTTTCACAAAATTATCAATTAGAGGAACCAATTTTTTAATTAAATAAACATTACAAAATTTCAATTAAATAGTAAGGTACAATTAAATGCAATAAAAAGTAACACAGCATATTGTCAAGTGGAAATAAAGCTAGTTGAAGTAACAAATTGCAAATTAATTTTACCAAATCGGCCATTTTGAATAGCACTTCCTATGTAAACAAATATCTATAATTACCAAACTTTAACATAGGTGCCTTATAGTCTGAATATAATTCAGACTAAATAGGATATAGTCTAAGGGTACGTGGGTAGGAGGTTTTTTATACAAAGCCCAGATGAAATCCCCTCTAGCCAATTATTGGCTAGAGACTCGAGTAACACCAAGTGTATTTGACTCAATCTTTTTTACAATGTATACGTTGCCTATGCTAAAGCTGAGACTAAAGTGAGTGAAGTAGGATCACTCTAGGATGAAGAAATCATTCGATGGAAGCAAAGATATTATTCTTTAAATTAAAAAGATCTGATTTCAAATAAAACTTTTCTACTCCTGTGAAAATAAATTCATTTGGGTTTGTGTTGATTTATAAATCACATGACCTGATGACCATTGATCAGCTGAGTTTTTTTCTTGAAAAATGGAGCCAATTTGAAAGAAGTTATAATTGTCGATAGATTTGTCAGTACTTACATGTTTTACCGCCTTTGATATTTTCTCTACAATTTTGTCTTTTAGTTCAACGTTTTCAAACGGCTTGGCCATCGTTATTGAGGATACATTTAGACATAAAGAGAGGAGAAAATTTCAAAATTTTCGAACCGGAAATAAACAAACTTGGGTTGAGCTAGATGTCAAACTCACTGATGGTTTTTATCATTTTAATTGACTAATTAAAGTAGATTTTTTGCCATCCATTTCAAAAAACAATTATCTTATCACTTCACAGCAATTGAAGCTATATGATTTTATTTCGATCAGAATGTCGGATTGTAGAACATTATTAAACCAACTCGTGATTTCGCCAGATTTGCCATCCAGTGAAAACTGTGATGACAAAATTAAAAAAAATGGAAAGTTTAAAAGATTATACAAATTCGAACAAATCTGAGTCTACCGAAAGTTTATTAGGGGGCTCGAAGGCGCTTTCATGGTTCAAGAACCCACTGAAGAGAGACGAGGCATCAGAAAATTTAGAAGAGACCAGTAATGGCTGGTTTGCCACTGCCAATAATGACCCATTTTTACCAAGTCTGGTGAGTCAATTTTTTCTTCAACATGTACATGTATTGTAATGACTTCAGTGTGAAGGATATGTCCCTAAAGCTAGCCATACAATGGGGCATTGTCTGACTTTGTCACTTCCGATTTGTCCCAACTTGTCCCCCAGACATAATGGTACAGTGTCCTACGTTCTCCCATTTTGTCCAATGTTGTCTGGAATATTGCGCCATTTTATCCAAAAATAGTCATATGATCATCACATGATGAAATGCCCCTCATGTCCCAAGAAAAGAATTAAACATGTTCATTCTTTTCTTAGGACATAAAGGGACTTATCCCGTAGGACTATAGTCCTGTAACGAGCGCATTATTTTGCCTGTACGATTACAACTTGGGAGAATTATCTACGCCCCTTACACTTAAGATACCTACTTCAATAGATTCCTGGATATTTTAGCATTCTTTTCGTGTAGTTGAATCCACAATTGTTTGGGTATATTGGCAGAATGTGAACATTTTTCTTTTTCATCGAGAGATATTCCATCACTTTCTAAGATGGCGGTTGGATTTAAAAGGGAATTCCCCGTTTGACTGACTCGGAAGTGGCCCGGATGTACTGATAAATGGAAGAATTTGACAGTTGAAATAAGTTTAATATTACACGCAAATATTGCGATCAAAAACGAAAATTTCTTTGTTCTGCCGATAAACCCAGACAATTGTGGATTCAACTACACGAAAAGAATGCTAAAATACCAAGGAATCTATTGAAATAGGTATCTTAAGTGTAAGAAGCATAGAAAATTCTCCCATGTTGTAATCGTACAGGCAAAAGAATAAGACGTTCACAGGACTATAGTCCTGGCACGGGATAAAAAGGGACAACTTGGGACAAAATCGAACAACGTCTGATAATGTCCCAGGGACAACTTGGGACAAAGTGGGACAATGTACCCTGATGTCCCTTGGGAATGTCCTAACTTGTCCTTCATGTCCCATGAAAATATTTTACTCAATTACTCCCTTGATAGCCCTTGATGTCCCATCATGTCCCATTGGTGTACAGCCATTGGTGTATGGCTAGCTTTTAAGCTAGCCTTAGCCATTTTGTCAGAAAATAGTCATATGATCGCCATGTGATGAAATACCCTCATTGGTCCAGTAATGTCCCTCGAAAAGAATCAACATGTTCATTCTTTTCTTGGGACATAAGGGGACAACTTGAAACAAAATTGGACAAATTGGGACAATGTCCCGGGGACAGCTTGGGACAAAAAGGGACAACGTTGGACAATGTCCCCTGATGTCCCAAGGATTGTGATATTGGTTCTCGATTGGAGGGGGAAGGGGGCTGTTAGCCTGTTACACATAATTCCTTTTTACGTTAGATCATGGTTTTGGGATATAGGGTTACCTTTTACATGGGCTGAAAGCCCATGCTTTTTCTTATGACAGATTCACACTTCGAGTTTTCTTGCTAGGTTTCTTTACAGTTTTTGGTCCTTTCCCTTTGGCATTTACGCTTATATTTATTGTATAGGGCTTTAGACAAGTGTAATAGTGCAATGTGCTTGGTATTGGATCATGGTCATGGTCTATTTTGGGCTATTTGTGGGGTTGCCTTTTTCTTATTTTTGACATTTAGTGATAGCAACAAAGTCAAAAATTAAAAATGAGCAAACCGAATCCACATTTATGGGGGTAATTTTGCCTAGGAGCTTTATTACATTTTCCAGAGCTTCCAAAGTCACAACCTTGAGGCTTCTTTTCAAGCTTGTATGAATATTATTCATTTACAGTTGATTACTTGTATATGTTGTTACTACCTAATCAAATATACACATGTAATATGTGTACTTTTATATACTTTATTACCACAATAGCAAGAATTGAAATTGATATAACTATTGTCAGGGCAGAATATTAGCCTACATTTAATCTCTTCATCTATTTTCAGTCTAAAAAGCAAAGAATCATAGGCTTTGTAATTTGTGTTCTAATGGGAACCTTCTGTTTTTCTCTGGTAAGTACAGTTTGATGCTAATTTACATCTCGTGATTGCAAATATAAATGTGAACTCTTTAAAATGAACAACTCTATAGACTGTAATAATAACAATTCTCTAAAGCTTTTATTTTATTCATATTTTTTATTCAATTGTTTAAAATAATGTTCATCCACCATAACTGCACATTGGATTTGCTCAATCTGCTGCTTCCGCCTTTTTTAATTTCTCTTGCATATCCAATATAATAAGGTTGCAAATTGACATTGGTATCTCAGACATAAGTAATATTCCTTAATATTTAATTGGCGTACAGTAGAACCTGTATATCTGAACACCTGGCTAATCCGAACACCTTCCAATTTGAACACTTTTTTTCGGTCCCATTTTTTCCTCCCATTGACTCCCATGTTAAATAAACCTTGAAATCTGAACACCTCCTAATCTGAACAGTGAACAACCAGATATGAAAAAGTGACCTGTCTAATCTGAACATTTTTATCAGAAATCAAATGTCTGGACATTTCAATAATAGCCACATATTGAGTCAATGTTATAGTTGTTATTTATCTTTACATACACATTGTAATCAAAGAACCAATACTGTCCTAATTAATTTATTTAGTCTCAGTGACATCCCTTATTTGTAGAAAACAACAGGATGATTTAAAAAGGTTTTACTGTAGTTCTAAACTGTTTTTTTTCATTGGCTGCGGAGAGCTCAAAGTTTATGACTCTATTGAAATAGATTATTATACGGGTCAATGTAAACGGCAAACAGACTCTTGTTGTTGCTTGCAATTGGAATCTCAAATACCAGGATGCACAATGTACAAATTGTTCGCAAGCATGGATCTTTGTTCGCAAGTGGAGAAATATGTTCGGGAGCGTGGAAATGGTGGTGCGTGACATAAGATTTAACGTTTGTGTTGTGAGAATTGTGGTTCGAGCGCAAGGAAGTAGTTTCTGATGTCAGAACTGATGTTTGCGTTCTTGGAAGTCTAGGAGGCCTGAAATTGCTGCATTATAAGAATACACAAAAGAGAACACAAAATTCAGTTGAATATACTCTTACATAACTCATGTTTATAAAACATATATGTTTTTTTCAGTCCATGCTGTATATACCATTCCTAATTCTAAAGGCTCGAAAGTTTGCACTACTATACTCTTTAGGCAGCTTATTTATAATTGCAAGGTGAGACCTAAATAGTTTGTCATTTTCAACATTGTTCTATTCTCATAGGGAATCATATCAGTCCATACTTTCTTCATTCAAAGGTCTGTGTTTCCACGCAGGAAGCTTTCAGGTTTTGACAAAATTATAAATTAAAATTTGACTGTCAGTTTCCTCACTAAGGGAGCAATAATAGCTTGTCAAATGTCTACTGGAGTTTCTCATAAATAGGCCCGTTGGCATTTATTTTGACAGGGCATTTATTTGAAAGAATTTTTAATAAACTCTCATGGGCCTTCATTAAGAGGGGGAAACATTTGTCCAATGTGGGTTTGCATTTATTAGAGGGAAAATAGCTTTCCCAAGCCAGTGGGCGTTTATTTCGAGGGATATAATAGATCGCAAAGTTAATACATGGCCTTCATACTCACACAATAATACCATTAATGCAGGCAAGAACGTTGACCAATATTTGACCTTTTGTCATATTGTGCTACAATGCTTTTTTGTTTTCCAGTTTTTCATTACTCTGGGGACCTTGGAACCATGTTAAACATTTATTCTCAGGCCCGAGGCTTCCATTCACCACAGCATACTTTGGCACACTGTTCGCAACTTTATATTTTGCAATGGTGGTAAGTAATTTCTACAAGCTCACTAGAGTCAATTGCAATATAAAAACTTTATAACAGGTTGATAGGCAATTTAGACCTCATGTAACAATCATATGGTAATCATCATGTATCTTACAAAAATGGCATAAAGCAAAAAGACATAATAATCACTATGTAGAACAAAACATATATGCCTGACCTACATACCCAATAATATTTTGAACCCCATATTCCTGTATGCATTCAATTAAATATTAAGAAAAATGATGTTAATCTTACAGTAAGCAAGCATGTGCTATTTGAAAATGTACACAGACTGAATTTGAATTTTGAAAATGTACACAGACTGAATTTGAATTTTGAAAATGTACACAGACTGAAATTGAATTTTGAAAATGTACACAGACTGAATTTGAATTTTGAAAATGTACACAGACTGAAATTGAATTTTGAAAATGTACACAGACTGAATTTGAATTTTGAAAATGTACACAGACTGAATTTGAATTTTGAAAATGTACACAGACTGAATTTGAATTTTGAAAATGTACACAGACTGAATTTGAATTTTGAAAATGTAAACAGACTGAATTTGAATTTTGAAAATGTACACAGACTGAATTTGAATTTTGAAAATGTAAACAGACTGAAATTGAATTTTGAAAATGTACACAGACTGAATTTGAATTTTGAAAATGTACACAGACTGAATTTGAATTTTGAAAATGTACACAGACTGAATTTGAATTTTGAAAATGTATATTATTAAATGTATGATATTTCTATCTACTGTAGTATTTGATGCTCATTCAAACAATTAAGTCCATTCATTAGTCACTCAGAACCAGTATGTGATAAAAGCACCAACCCATAGATTGAAAATCTTTCATTCGTGTATAGACCATGAATATTGGTCCATGATTTTATCCATGCCAGTTGGACTTCTCAGGATGTATACAAAACTAACATGAAAACTGGTCAGTAATTTGATCCCAGGTGGTCTTCAGCATGTCTAAGAAAATAACCCGAAAACTGGTTCACAATTTTATCCAGGCCACTAATGATCCTACATACATAGAAAAAGAACATGAAGCTAGTCCATAATTTTATCCAGGCCAACTGGTCTATTCATCATATATAGGAAAATAACATGAAAACTGGCCCATAATTTCATCCAAGCAAGATGGTCAGGTCTTTTCAGCATGTAGAGGAAATAACATGAAAAGTAAAATCAGACATCTAAGCATTTACTTATGGTGACTTTGTTTTTGCTTCCAGGCTAAGAGTACTATATTCACAGTGATATGTGCAATCATTCAAATATTAGCTTTAGTATGGTAAGTACAGATTTTTGCTATTCACTACTATTTTAAAAAATATTTTCACTAACTTTGTATTGATCAGAATTGTTATATTGAGAATTTCAACCCACCTGTGGCTCATATGAATATTTATTCTCGTACAGTAAAGTAAATCATTACTGAAGTGTTAGCAACTCCAATGATGTTTCCTCAGACCACAGCTCAAATATTGAAATGAATGTATAGAAAAAAGTGTGTCATCAATTATTCTAGATTCACTCTTCTCGGTACTCCATAGAAAAGTAGTTACATAATAAAATGTTTTATTTATTTATATTATGTGTTTCAGGTATATCGTCAGCTACATTCCGGGAGGACAAACTGGGCTCAACTTTTTCACAAAAATATTTTATGCCGCAGCATCAAAAACTGTAAAAACAACTCTGCCAATATGACATGGCTCAACATAGCAGTGTTTATGGGATCTTGTCAAAATATCAATGTTTTTAAGGAAAAGAAAGACCATCTTTGTCAGGGTAGTCAAACATTGAATTTCTTAATGAAAAGGGGAGGAGTCTTATTTTTTCACAGAAAATACATTGCTATTTTGACTCATAATGGTGTGTTGAATGTAGATAACATGAGGGTATTAATTTTATTTATTTTAGAAAGGACATTAAATATTGTAAATAGTGAAATAATATACTCAGATATACACTGTAAACTGATTGTACAAAGTTGAAATAAAAGGACCCTGTAAAAATATCATCTTGAAAACTAGATTCTTGCGTTTATTCTTATTTTTCATTGAAAGTTAAGTGTTTCAGCCACCTCTAAATACCTAACATCGTATCAGTCTGTAACTTACACCACAGCAAGTTGTATCAAGTCCTTAGGAGTATCTATACAGAGAGTGAGGACACCAAAAAAACTGTAAAGGACCAAAAAAGGACCTGATACAACTTCCTGTGACTTACACTTGCCATAGGTAATAGTCCAGTTCTTAACCTGAAGAACTTGTTTTCCTTGTAATTTTTTTTTTGTAAGCAACATGGGGATTTTTTCTAATGTTACTTTATTTATCAGGAGCAATTATCAGCCTTTGATATTTACAGAAAAGAATGTTTTTGTCAGACTATTTATTTTACAAGTTACAATTCATTGGGAATTTCAGGATCAGGGTTAAAGAGACTATACAATCGGATAGCACAATCAAGACCCCTCTGAACCTTTTTGCATATTGAGTTTCACCACATATTCATCTTTCTACTTATCAATGAAGAAGTCCCAAATCCCCCGCTTTCAGCGTTAATTTTTGCGATTGTACTGACCAATCTAATTATTTTCACAGAAAATAATTCAATATGAAGTTTGAATATACCAGGAAAAACCCCTGTTGTCTGCTTGGTTGTTGAATTAAAATTTGTTTATCTTGAACCTGATTGACTGCCTGGTTCAAGGCACACGTGGGCGCTTGTGTGACTCAACAGGGATTCCCATCACTTGAGCCAAGGAATCGATTGTGTTCTGTTGATTATTTCAATATTTCAGCAAAAATATACTCGTAAGTTATTCTCAAGATATATCTATGGTAAGTTAGGTATTATTTGATGGTCCATCATTGATTGTCTGGGTGAGAAACCTATTGTAAACTGCATCTTTAATGGCTAAGACACTTTTAGTAATCATTTTAAAACTAGATCTCCTTATACAGGGTGTCAAATAAGTCTGTTCTCCCCCCTTAACTTTTTTATCTTTAAATTTATCATACTTTCCCAAATATCATTTTGAAGCTCATGGAAAATGCTGATCACCCTAAAAAATCAATAATGAAATATTCTTAATAAAATTCCTACAATGTTTCTTGTAAGGTTGTAGTTGACCTTTGATTACGTCAAAAAAAGTTAAATTATCAGGTATAGTGAATGAAAAGTGAAAAGTTGTTACTGCAGTGACAATGCCAACATTGGGTGATTTTGATGTTTCTCAATATCATAACAGAGTAAAATGTGTTACATTCAGGGGAGCTTTTGAAGCAGGGGCATCTTTCATCACAAAATAGTTGATAACACCTAAAATTAAACGTTCTGAATGATTTATACAGGATCATATCCTCGTAGAATTGAGGCCATACGGGCTGCTGGGGGAGACATACAGACTATTAAAAAAGTGAAATATGCACATCACTAAAAATACTCTAAAAAATTTGGAATTTAACCAATCACTCTGAAATTTGGTGTGTGATCAGCAAATTAAATTCCCTTTAAGATGATATATACCAACGCTATGTACTCTCTGAATTAAAAAAGTTAAGGGGGGAGAACAGACTTATTTGACGCCCTGTATATGCTCCATTTCACCACTTGTGAAATATTAACTAGATAACCAAGATTAGGAATACTCATTAAATATCTAATTGACAGGTTTTTATTGCGATATAGCAAAATTGTTAGTCATTCTATCCATTTATGCCTGGAATGGACCAATTTTGTTCACATTTTGTCAGAAGTGACTTGTACTTCAGAAATGGTAGATGACTAATTTTTTAAATTGTTCTTATCACAAATCAAACTAAAGATCATTTAAAAAATCCATGTGCATGTATAAACATACACGTCTGTGAATAAAATCTATCAAAACATTTTTTATAAATAAGTTAAAATGGTATTTATTGCACATTATCTAGTATACAGCTCATTATCCAATTGCCAATTTCCATATCAGCATCATACATGTGACTCGTATTTAACAATTCGTTAAGTTTGTATTCCAATGTGTGCTTTCTAAACTGCAAACCAATACACTCTTGGTGTAAAACTCTGATGAATTCTTCAATATTCTTTGAGTCAAATCCTTTCATGTTGATTTGAATTTTCTCCACAAGTCCACAGACAATCTCTGCTTTGATGTCCAGATGTATCTGAACATGACTTGAGTAGCCTTTAAAGTCCTTCCTAAATTGTCTATGAATATGAAAAGGTGGCGTTTTTCCAAATACCCATTCCCATTTTTGTAAGTCCTCTTGTATTTTGTTGATATCTTTGCAACCCTCTATACTTCCAGGATCAACCCACTCAGCAGAATAAACCTACAAAATATCCCAATTTTCAAAACAATTTATTACATACGCTTAATTCTCAAAGGTGAGCAACACCACCCTCTGACTATCCTAGGTGACTTTACAGATTTATTGCTCATAAGTTCTGAACAATCTTAATATGGCTGAATTATAGGAAGAAATCTCATGAAGAAAATCATGATTTTCTGACCTCACTTTTGACTGGATTTTGTTAGATAAAAGAGTGCAGTAAAAATAATAATAATTATAATAATAATATAGTATTTTCTATAATGTACCTGATTTTCTCTATTTTGAGCAAGGAATTGTTCAGCAACTGAAGCTATGAGGGCTTCATATGTAATGGTGTTGTCAGCATCTGCTAAGTTGGCAATTCTGGCAGGAAAACTCGCAGTTGCCTTACTCTTGCAGCCAATCTGTAATATAACTCTTTTGTATAGAAAAAGGGCATCACAATCATAGCTGTAAATGACAAACTGGTAACACCCCTTTGAGGATTAGAAAATTCTCCAGTTTAAATACATTTGATGACACATATGAACTGTCTAATTGTTAATTTTATTAATTTAATGACAAGAGTTTTAATGACAAGATTTTTTTTCTTCACTAGATATTTATCTCGGATCCAAAAAAAACATACTTGTTAACAAATCCATTTTCAGGATTCTCCCTGCTCATCATTATATTAAGTACTTACATGTGTAGCACTAAGTGCCTCTTGAAGGGTATCTGCCTGAACATTGAATAGCAGGGTACAATGGTGGTAGCCCTTAGTCTTGTCTAGCTTAGCTGCTGTACCTGAGATCTCAAACATATCAAGGATTACAACCAAACTATGACATGAAGCCAGTGAGTTGTAGTCAAACCTTTTTTCTATACAATATCAAAAGCTTTGGAAAAACCTTTATCTTGGTTACAAGGAATGTTAAGCTCACATACAGATTTTTTATAAATTTCTAAACGAAGTAAACTCTTAAAATATGCATTTAGAATTTCTCTTAATAAGGACTTGCTCATTTTAATTATAACTTGTCTTTAGTACTTCCAATTTAAATATAATAAATATAACATATTCCTACATCAAGATATGCAATTAATGATATAAAATCACATTTCAATTGTATCAATATCATGTGGTGGATTTTATGAAAAATTAATCCCTGGTGACAACAAAAAGCTAAAGGAAACTATATAATTTTGATCTATATGTAGCAAGAAAAATTACTACGAGCCTGGAAGGGTGCCGGCCCATCAAATAACTATGAGCAAGTCCTTCTTTAGAAAATAAACCCTTATTCAGTTAATGAGTTATTCAAAATGTTTTACTCCTTCTAAAAATCCATTAAAAAATATGGGAGCTTCTGTCTGAACACTCCAAGGCGTCATATGTGCAGTTTGATCTAAATTAATTGTCCATTCCACCAATGTTAAATATTTTGGTACTCTGATTCTATAATAGATAAAAATGATTTTGCATGTTATGTTTTTCATAAGGATACTTTATATAAGCCATCAAGAATGATATCATCCCTCTCGTTTACTGTTAAATCAATGTCCCATGACTTTGTTATAGCCTCCACAAGAAGATTCAAATTTCTCTTGCGATTATATCCATTACGTGCTGTGAAAAATGTACAATTGAGATTCCCATTATCATGGTACACTGTGCCCCCGCCACTATGACGCCTGGCCAGAGCTATATTGTGCTCCTGGAGAAAACCAATGTTACATTCGACCCAGGGATTCTGATGACGTCCAATCACAACACACGGGTCATTCCTCCACAGAAACAACAGGTTAGTATGATGAAAGTCAATGGTTGAGTATAAATATTGCTCAAATGCGAGATTCTTATGTATATTTGTTGATTTTGATACTAGAGCCTTGTAAGTAGTTGAGTGTGTTGCTAAAGTCCTCGTCACATTTCTGACATAATGTTGGGGAATATCCCTGAAACACTTGGAGTATTTTTGGAGAAGTCTAGCTTGGGTCATCAAAGATGTCATCATGTCAATCACATTTATGTTTCAATAGTTACACCTGGAAATAAATTATATTGTTGATAACATAATGAATGCATTATCACAGTAAGAACACACAATTGGACATGGTAGATCTACATCAATACATATCAGGGGATGGCCTGAAATCTAGAAGTCCAAGGAGGATTGGCTCTCATGACACAATCTTGATATCTTCCAATAATGAATCTGATCTTTGATGATGTTGAAGAAAAAATGTATATTTGCGTGACAGAAAAGACGGGGGTGACTTCAATTTCTTCAGCAAATATGTGACAAATACGTAAACTGAGGGACAGTTGGATGACCTGCCGATATGAATAGCAACAGGCATAAATAGCCTTCGCCTAAATAAGTCATAAAGGGAGCCTGCAGTGATCTCCCCATGTCACTTTTACCAGGGGCTCCCCCTACTTGAAACCAAAGGCCCCCCAGTTGGCACCCAGTTGGAATCTGCACTTCAACTTCTGATTTGAAAAATGAGTGAAGTAAGCACCTACACTGAGATATTGTGAGCGTAGTGAGTGCTGATTTTTTCAGACTTGAAATCTTGCACCCAGTTGAAAATTTTTTTGGGGGCCTGTCATTGAGAAGAAGTCTGATGGGGTAGAATTAAGAATTATGCGAGCCTCAAATACAAACAAATATTAGCACATAACGTTGTACTGGTATATATGTTAGCCACGATGACCATGACCAAAGAGCATTTTGTACCCTGCTGATTGAATTTTCTTTTTTGCCTCTTTCAGGAATCAGGATATATACAGTGGGGGATAAAAATAAAACTCAACGTTCACAAGCTGTCACAATGAGCTTATTTCCAAGTTTCGTGTCTCAAACTCTCCCAAGCGGTAGAAAAATAATTCCCGTTCACTAAAGTAGCACAATAAATGAATCCAAAGCTTCATACCTGCAAATAATGGATAAATCCCTACCAAATCGAATGAATGTTTTCATGAATCGCCATGTTTGTTATCCAAGGACGGTTGACTCCCAGAATGCAACATCAGTTAACCGTATTTACTCATGACAGGTTTCAAAATGGCGGAACAGCATTTTGAAAGCTGGCACGTGTCATGTTGCATTCTGGGAGCCAATCCTCCGTTCCGGCGCAATCGGGCGACAAAATCACCTCAACATTTGAAGAGTCGACATAACATGTGAATATCCAATTCAACTTTTGAAGTTCTTATTTGTCATTAGGGACACATATTCCACTATATTTGGACTTACTAAGACGGTTAAAATAGAGCACTGAATACACTGAGGTAAGAATTTATTACATGTGCAACGGCATGTAATTTTCATAGCTTTTGCAATTCTTTATGATCCCCACTGTAGATCTAATCTTAGTCTATCCCTGATTCACAAAACGTATCTCTGTATCAACAACTTCTTGAAATTGAGAATGTACAACTTACTTCTACCAAAGCTATTGCTTTAGACAATTATGTGGAAGAAAAAATCTAAAATATTTTTAAAACTTCACATTTTCATGGGCGCTGACATCTTGAAAATATTGCATTGTGGGATATGTTGAGCATGCGCAAACCTCAAAACAGCTATATCCGGTCAGAACTGTTTTGAAAAACTTTCCTATTATTTATGCGTTTACGACTTCATATAGTAATACGATCATGGATTTAAAGCGTAAGGCAATGGCAGGTGCATTAGTGCCTGTGAAGAAATCTAGAATGGACCTAGTTTCCACCTCAGGAAGAGACAAAGGAGCACTCATGGAGACGGTATTTATTTTCATGTTTTTTTTCATTTTCAATCATTCCAAAATACTGCTCTATAATTATTGGCTAAAACAATTTTTTCATGCTCTTCGTCAGTCCAAAAATTGATTTTTCTGAAAACGTTCAAACATTCTTTCTAAATCATTCAGCCTACTTACATTGATCTTCATGGAGTCCATTATGGCAGCGTGTACAGTGGGGATCATAAAGAATTGCAAAAGCTATGAAAATTACATGCTGTCGCACATGTAATAAATTCTTACCTCAGTGTATTCAGTGCTGTTTTTTCTCCGTCTTAGAAAGTCCAAATATAGTGGAATTTGTGTCCCTAATGACAAATAAGAACTTCAAAAGTTGAATTGGATATTCACATATTATGCCGACTCTTCAAATGTTGAGGTGATTTTGTCGCCCGATTGCGCCGGAACGGAGGATTGGCTCCCAGAATGCAACATGACACGTGCCAGCTTTCAAAATGCTGTTCCGCCATTTTGAAACCTGTCATGAGTAAATACGGTTAACTGATGTTGCATTCTGGGAGTCAACCGTCCTTGGATAACAAACATGGCGATTCATGAAAACATTCATTCGATTTGGTAGGGATTTATCCATTATTTGCAGGTATGAAGCTTTGGATTCATTTATTGTGCTACTTTAGTGAACAGGAATTATTTTTCTACCGCTTGGGAGAGTTTGAGACACGAAACTTGGAAATAAGCTCATTGTGACAACTTGTGAACGTTGAGTTTTATTTTTGTCCCCCACTGTATTTATCAATTCCATAGCAAGTAACAGAAATACTTGAAAATCAATATAAATATCGAAGGACAGTTCAGTTATTTTCTCAAAAGAATTTCACCTGACCCTGTGTTTGAGTGACATGCGGGTTTCAAGTATTGAACGAGGTTCAAGGTGAAAATGGCAGCTGTGTTAAACTTGTCTCCCTAAGTATGAACTTGTCCATTCTGTTCTGGCGATGTCACATTCTTAGAATCGCTCATTTATGGCCATTTAACAAAACATGCTCCAAATGCCAAAATCATGAATACGAATGCAATACATGCATTATACTGTATTTGTCTTTCATTTAGTGCTACTTAATTTGACGATTTTTATTTGTCAAATTCCTGGGGATTTTGGTGACTATTTAATTTGGCGATTTTTTTCAATTCGTCAAACTGCCAATTTAAAACACTTGTCAAATTAAAGACAAATACAGTATATGAACTAATTGCCAGATAACCTTAAATGTAGTGTTTGTTGGGATAAGCTACTCTTAGGAGTTGCCAATTTCTAGATATATCCTTATAGGACGAATATCACAAACTAACGTAAAATCATTGTAAATATTTATTTTCATTGCAGGGGCCTCCAAGATCGTCAAATCTGTTTGCTCCAATCATGCATCTTACTGGACATCAAGGTGACATCTTTACTGCAAAGTTTAGTCCCGATGGCCAGACAATCGCATCTTCAGGCTTTGACAGACTTATATGTAAGCATGTCTTTATATATCATTCAGGGTAGGCCAAAAAGGAAGTTCATCCTTTATTTTCGAAATTTTTTTTTTAATAGTTCATTGATTTCAAAAATATGTGAACTCGTTATTTTCATTTTCTATAAAGACACATTGTATGTGGTGCTGACATTATCGAGAAAGACAGAACTTTGTTGCATCTCTCTGACAAATTGTATGATATACCAGCCCCTAGTACTATTATTTCAGACTTGACTATTATATTATTTCTTAAAATATCTTGTAATTGTAAAATGTCAATCCAGACCCTTAGTATACATGTTTATGAACTAAAGTTCTTAGATCTCATGCTGTTTTTCTGTCACATTTTCTTATATGTTGCATAAAATGTATTGATTTTGGGCCTCACATGAAAGATTTTACTTATTTAGTCTTAGAATTGAACACTATAGTAACCAAAGTAGCATTATGAAATAATCAATATGTTGTCAAAATAAAACTATACTATGACTGTATATCAGGATATAAACATTTCCAAAAATATTAATATATCCAAGGCACCCAACAAAACATTTTTATAATTAACACACATTAGTCATTATTTACTTTTGAGCATTATAAGGGATTCAAAATCTTACAAATGAAGCGTAAGATCTATATTTTCACAATGAGGTAAAAATGGCCCCCTGAACTTTCTGAACTGTATCTATTAATTGACATTGTAGTTTTTAGCTCACATGGTGAGCTTTTGCAATCGCTCACTTGTCTGTCTGTCCGTCCGTCCGTCTGTCTGTCCGTCCGTCAACAATAGTGGCACGTTTTAAAACCTCTGTCGATAGGATTCCTGTTTTAAGTTATTTCTGTTCAACATCAATACAGAAAACTCCCCTATGACTCCTGGTTCAAAAGCTCGCCTATTTTCAAAATGGCCGCCATTTTTGTCTCGCGAAATTCACTTTTGACTGGCACGTTTTAAAACCTCTGTCGATAGGATTCCTGTTTTAAGTTATTTCTGTTCAACATCAATACAGAAAACTCTCCTATGACTCCTGGTTCAAAAGCTCGCCTATTTTCAAAATGGCCGCCATTTTTGTCTCGCGAAACTCACTTTTGACCCATTTCCTAGCTTTACAAATAATTTCAGGTGTCCTACATTGTAAAAATCTGTGTCATTGTAAAGAGTAGATATATGAAATAATTTTGTTACAAAAAATCAGCGAAAAATTATATCTATTTTTTTATTTTCAGCCATTTTAGTTAACATTGATTTGTCCATCTGACTTGTGAAATCCACTTTTCCGTCAACAACAGTGGCACGTTTTAAAACCTCTGTCGATAGGATTCCTGTTTTAAGTTATTTCTGTTCAACATCAATACAGAAAACTCCCCTATGACTCCTGGCTTAAAAGCTCGCCTATTTTCAAAATGGCCGCCATTTTTGTCTCGCGAAATTCACTTTTGACCCATTTCCTAGCTTTACAAATAATTTCAGGTGTCCTACATTGTAAAAATCTGTGTCAATGTAAAGAGTAGATATATGAAATAATTTTGTTACAAAAAATCAGCGAAAAATTATATCTATTTTTTTTATTTTCAGCCATTTTAGTTAACATTGACTTGTCAATCTGACTTGTGAAATCCACTTTTCCGTCAACAACAGTGGCACGTTTTAAAACCTCTGTCGATAGGATTCCTGTTTTAAGTTATTTCTGTTCAACAGAAAACTCCCCTATGACTCCTGGCTCAAAAGCTCGCCTATTTTCAAAATGGCAGCCATTTTTGTCTCGCGAAATTCACTTTTGACCTATTTCCTAGCTTTACAAATAATTTCAGCTGTCCTGCATTGTAAAAAGCCATGTCACTGTAAAGAGTAGTTGAATGAAATAATTTTGTTACAAAAAGTTGGCAAAATCAGCAAAAAATTATATCCATTTTTTTATTTTCAGCCATTTTAGTTAACATTGATTTGTCCATCTGGCTCGCAAAATCCACTTTTGGACCATTTGCCTTAAACCCTCTGTCGATAGGATTCCTGTTTTAAGTTAATTTTGTTCAACATCAATACAAAAAACTCTCCTATGACTCTTGGTTCAAAAGCTCACCTATTTTCAAAATGGTCACCATTCTTGTCTCGCGAAATTCACTTTTGGCCCATTTCCTAGCTTTACAAATAATTTCAGCTGTCCTGCATTGTAAAAAGCCATGTCACTGTAAAGAGTAGTTGAATGAAATAATTTTGTTACAAAAAGTTGGCAAAATATTATATCAGTTTTTTTATTTTCAGCCATTTTAGTTAACATTGATTCGTCCATCTGTCTCTCAGTCAGTCCAAAAAAGTGGCAAGTTTTAAACCTCTGTCAACACACTTTTTAAATCCTCTGTAGATAGGATTCCCGATTTAAAATAATTTTGTTCAACATCAATAAAGAAAAAAAAACCTGTGACTCCTGCTTCAAAATCTCGCCTAATTTCAAAATTGCCACCATTTTTGTCTCGGGAAATTCACTTTTGGCCCATTTCCTAGCTTTACAAATAAGTTCAGGTGTCCTGCATTGTAAAAAGCTATGTCTTTGTAAAGAGTAGTTGTATGAAATAATTATCCCATCGAACGAAGTTCAGAGGGATATAGGGAACGCCTCCGTCCGTCCGTACGTCCGTCTGTCCATCCGTCCGGGCAATAACTCAAATACCGTTGGCCCGATTTTGTTCATATTTTGTACCCATATACCCTATGGGGGTAGAAGTTCTGCTCGAAAGCCAATTTTCTAAATGGCCGTTCATTTCAAAATGGCGGCCGTTTTAGTGACGATTTTACAGTAATTTAGGTGCAATATGTAAAACTGTAATAGTAATATGTTTTAAATGTAAAAAAATTATAAAGGACATTAATAATGCTACAAAGTAGGTATTAAAAAAGCACATGGCAGCCATCTTGAAAAATGGCGGCCTTTACTCGTCATTTAACGATTTTTGTTGTAACTCAAAAAATAGTGGAGCGATTTTGTTCATATTTGGTGTGTGAATACTATAAGCATTGCACACTGTCTAAAGACACTTTTGGTAGAAGGCGGCCATTTTGAAAAATGGCCGCCATTTTTACGTATTTTACTATAACTCGAAAAGTAGTGGAGCGATTTTGTTCATAATTGGTATGTGAATACTATAAGCATGGCACACTGTCCTATGACACTTTTGGTAGAAGGCGGCCATTTTGAAAACAATTTTGAAAAATGGCTGCCATTTTAACGTATTTTACTATAACTCGAAAAGTAGTGGAGCGATTTTGTTCATATTTGGTATGTGAATACTATAAGCATGGTACACTGTCTATTTCTAATGACGCTTTTGGTAGAAGGTGGCCATTTTGAAAAATGGCCGCCATTTTAACGTATTTTACTATAACTCGAAAAGTAGTGGAGCGATTTTGTTCATATTTGATATGTGAATACTTTAAGCATGGCACATTGTCTAATAAAACTTTGGGGAGTAGTCGGCCATTTTGAAAAATGGCCACCATTTTTATGTGTGTTATTTTACAAGTACGTGTGCTATTTTTTATGATATTTGTGCTTCGTTTGTAAAAATGCCAGCCATTTCTGTTGATGGGATTCGCTACGCTTTGGCGTTGCCGTTGTTCTGGTTTTGTCACAAAAAATCTGCAAAAAATTATACCCGTCTTCTTATTTTCACTTTTGAGCAACACCATGTGAGCCCAGTACCCACGGTACTCATTTTTATCCATGTGAACGCAAATGCTCGTAACTTAACTTGTAACGTGTCATTACAGATCTATGGAATGTGTATGGTGAATGTGACAACTACCATGTGATGAAAGGCCACGCAGGTGCTGTTATGCAACTAGACTACTCAGCTGATTCCACGTAAGTCTCACTCCCTAGATGCATACATTTTCACAGTTTATAAAAGTATAGTGTTCATGATAAAATAAAATAAAAATTACCACATTTTAAAGGGCAACATCGTGAAATCTCTGCCAAAGTAAAAACTGGTCATTTACCCTGGACCAGTGCGGATAATGACCACTATGGTCTGGCAAATATGGATCCATTTATTGCTCAAATTGATATAGTAAAATATAAGCCTTCCAAACTGGTACTAAAACCCTGAGAACAATGTTATAAGGTTTTATAATTATCATTACTATACAGATTGATTTATACTGATTTTGTTTTTTTCTTCATTTTGTTGTGCCATGGCCCATAAATAAATGACCGTTTCATAAAAAGAATTCTCAACTTAATTTTGAATCCCATTGCACAAAAGGGAAATTCAGAGAAACACAGTCATATAATGATGTAATGCTTGTAGGAATGTTTTCACCTGCTCCACAGACAAGACTGTTGCTATATGGGATGTTACTGTAGGTGAGAGGATAAAGCGTCATAAAGGACACACAAGTTTTGTTAACTGTCTCAATGTTGCCAGACGAGGCCCTCAGCTCATATGTAGTGGTAGTGACGATGGAACAATAAAGGTAATTAAATATGTCCTGTGAATTATCATTTTGAAATGGAGCTCTGAAAAACCACAAATGGTTCCTTCCTGTGAATTAACATTTTGAAATGGAGTTCTGAAAAACCACAAATGGTTCCTTCTTGTGAATTATTAACATTTTGAAATGGAGTTCTGAAAAACCACAAATGGTTCCTTCCTGTGAATTAAAATTTTGAAATGGAGTTCTGAAAAACCACAAATGCCTGTGAATTAACATTTTGAAATTGCAAATGGAGTTTTGAAAATTCTCAAATTGTTCCTTGAAATAAAAAATACATTGAATTTGATATTTATTATTAGAACTCATAATATTATAAAACACATTTTAATGTTTATGTGTCTTATCCCATATTTACGTAATAAGAAAAAAAATTGTCCTGTACTTAAAATAGTGATGATTTTTATTTTTAGCTGTGGGACTCTAGAAAGAAGGGTACACTGCAGACATTCCAAAACATGTACCAAGTCACTGCAGTTTCTTTTAGTGACACTGCAGAACAGATTATATCAGGGGGAATAGATAATGAAATGAAAGTAAGTCCTGTAGGAACTAGGCACTTTCCAAGTTTAGAGACAAGGTCTATATATCAGCATCTTGCCTGAAAGGGATAAATGTTATATTAAATTGTATAAACATATTAACTGATTAAAAAGAAAGCAAAACATAAAATCAATAAATGTTCACCAATTCTTATTAATGCGGTTACTATCATTGTTATTTTTGTCTTTTAATTGTTGAACACAGGAACGTATTTATAACATTCATAGCACATATTATGGGGTGAAACACTGCTGCATGTACTTATATGTAATCTTTCTTCCTAACACATTGAGTATTATTTAGTGAATGTATAGCTCGTATTTATTTTACTCTGTGTAATCATAAATAATAAAGTGAAAATTTAATTTATTACATTTAATTGATTTGTGATTTTCAGGTATGGGACTTAAGGAAAAATGACATACTTTATAAATTAAAAGGTCATGCTGACACAGTCACTGGTATGGAACTCAGTCCTGATGGTTCTTATCTTCTATCCACTGGAATGGATAACACTGGTATGGAGGCTACGTAACAAATATATTTTAACTTAAAAACGGAGAATTAACTGTATGTCTGTATCACACCACTCAATGTGTATTTTAAATGATTGCACAAGTACATTCAATAAGCATTATGTATACCAAAATTGTTATACACTACTTTGATATTTTTTCGACTCAACACAATACTGTTAGCTACAGATCATATCTTCGATTATGTCCTCGCCATAATTCCTACCCAATAAAGGCAACTTTTGCAGCCCAGCCATGTTTATATTTTTCCATAATCATGAATAGTACATAGAAAGATCTCCTCTCCTATTTTAGTTCGTATTTGGGATGTCCGTCCATTTGCCCCTCAGGAGAGATGTGTTAAGGTGTTCCAAGGTAATCAGCATACATTTGAAAAGGTATGTAGTATTTATACTGGTGGTTGGTGTGTTTATGTTGATATGATTTTGATATTGCCAATTGAGCTAGAATTGAAATAGGAATCTCCTAAAGATGTCAGTGGATTCTTGCTATGACATAAACTTGAAAATGTAAATATTTCTATCTTTGATTGAATTGGCTTATAGATGGGGAAAATCGAACTTGCTTTTAAAATTAGTTTAAAAATTTAATGGTGTATACTTTTATATATTATTTATTTTCAAATGTGGAATTCAGGAAACATGAAGTGAAGTTCAGTACTTGCACCACTCAATAAAACCAAATTTGAAAATGTTTATTTTCCCCTTACTTGATTATTTCGAAAAAAACTATCTAAGGAAATTAACTTATCTCTTCCCTAACTGTTAATATTTTGACAAAATCCATCATTGAATATATTTTATAAAGTATTTATGCAAAACGATCACAGGCACAAGCTAATAATTAGGGGTGAGACGACAACCCGATGAGTCGAGGACTCGCGGGTTTGGGGCTTTGAGTCGAGTCGAATCGAGTCGAAGTTGATGAATAGAATCATTTTCGAGTTGAGAAAAAAATTCGAAAAAATAAAAAAATTCAGAAAAATACTGTCAATATGCATGTTTTTACTCGATATTGCGTTGAATATATAAGTTTCAATGACTTGGATATGCTTGTATTAAATTATTATATTGTATGTACACATAAATGAAAGAATATATGTAATAAAATCAGAATAAACTTACGACGAATTGTGTTTGTTTATATTTCCGGCTTTCCACCATTGACGCATTAAAAATACGAACGGTCAAAAGCGATGTTGTTCGCACTTTATCTAAAATGTATTATGTGTATACGCGACTCGAAACGGATTCGAAACTCGAATCGTCATTTTCTGACTCGAATCGGATTCGACTCGAATCGGATTTTTTCGACTCGTCTCACCCCTACTAATAATAAAGCTATTTGAGCTAGAAGATATGATATGTATCCAAAACACATTTCTGGAGTATTTACTACGTTGTTTTTAATTATTTAAGAATCTCCTGCGGGTTGCATGGTCTCCAGATGGCAGCAAGATAGCTGCTGGGTCAGGTGACAGATTCATGTATATCTGGGACACAACTACTAGAAGAATACTCTACAAACTTCCAGGCCACACTGGCTCTATCAATGAAGTGGACTTCCATCCTACTGAACCTATAGGTAAATCTTGTGTTTCCTTAAGTAGTACATGATCTTGTAATAAACCCCTCATTATATAGCCAATGGACGAGTAATTGAAAGAATTTTGAAGATAATATGGAAAATTGTAAATTTTGGCCTCACTTTTCATTAAAATCCCGGGGTTTTATTTTGAGATCTGGTAGCAGGTTATTTTACTAAATATACTAAATGCTAGTCAATTTATTCTCTCATTCGTGCTTATCAATTAGTTCTCTCAATCAATTTACCATGGGTGATATAATGAGTGGGCTTAAAAATACAAATGAAACATGTTCTATTGCAACTATTTCTGTTGTTCCCTTTACCTTAACGTTTGCTACTTTTGAAGGTCAATGTGAAAAGACCCATGTTAAGCTTCTTGAGACCACCTATGTACATCGATGGGAATCACTTAAACAGCATGGTATTTTAAGAGAGATACTACCTCTAATTATTGAAGATTTGAGATTGATGTTGATAAGATCTTAACATTCATATTAAGTGTTAATGAAGTTAATCTCTTGCAAAGGGACATGATACTTTATATTGTTATGGTCCTATAACAAAAAAAATTACATCTTAGAAATTGAGGAGCAAGAAAAGTTGAAAGACCGGAAGAAAATTTTCTTCTTGCAGATATCTTTTATAACAAGGTTTTGAAAACGTCAGATATCAATTTTGCTCAAAAATGACTAAAATATACAATGGCCCATTGTCTTAATATGCTATTTTTAATTCTTACAAATGGCTTTTTTCTTTTTTCAGTGCTTTCCTGCTCAAGTGACAAAAGTATATTTTTAGGAGAAATAGAGCTGTGACACTAGATACACTGGGGACAATATTTGTTAGGGGACAGTGTTTACTTATTTGATAAATGAAATCATTCTGTTCAGGCTGTAAAATTGCTTGAAAGTCAGAAGATGAATTTTTATTAAATGTAGCGTGCCATTCTAGATTTTTTCTCCTAGACTGGAATGGAAATGTGTCTCTATGAACCAAAGAATGCAAGGCCCAAAGAATTGCCTTTGTATGAAATTTGCAATTCTCTCAGAAGCCACCTAGTGGCAAATGCTGGAACTCTTGAGTCCGGTAAATGGCCTATTGAATACAAAATCATGCAATCAAGTAAGTTTTACAGAAAAAATGGTATAATGGGAATAGTCATGAATTAATCAATTCAGGAGAGGCTATTTGTAGAACAGGGGTTAATTTCAAAGGAACAATAGTAGGCTACAATACAAGTCTGATTTATTATGGATTAATGAAACAGTTGGAGACAATGACTCCCTCTATTCAGATTCCATGCACATTTTGAATTATTAATGCGAATTGGAAGTGTTGACTCGAGAAGCTGATACACTCACAGTGTAAGGCATCGCCATTGTTGTAGGTTTTAGTGTTATTTATCACGATACACAGGACAAACATGCAATTAAGTATTTAGCAAATACTGAGGAGGTGTTAGAAAGGAACAAATGAGCTTCACACATGGTTGAATATAGTACAATGTATTGTGATCAGGACTCTGTGTTCTACATATATGAGAATAATATTGAAATACATTTTTGTAATATAAAACAGAATGTTTGTATTTTTATACAGTACTTTTTGGGTTAATAGTAGTCAAATTAGTCTTGCATCAAGCTACGGTAAAACCTGTAAAGTGAAACACCTGTAAGTGGAACACCTCTGTAAAGTGGAACACCTCTGTAAGTGGAACACCTCTGTAAAGTGAAACACCTCTGTAAGTGGAACACTTCCATAAATAGAACTCTGTAGAATTCCATGTCCAATTGACATAATGTTAAATGGACTTCATTAAGTGGAACATCTCCCAATTGGAATATTTAGAAGTACCAAAGGTGTTCCATTTCCACAGGTTTTACTGTATTGGTCATCCCCCTACCCCCCCCCCCCCCTACCCCTACTTATATATTTGACCCAACCCTGTGCTTTGAGAGACTATGGGTAGGTGCAACACAAGGGCTTGATGGTTTATGGTCAAATATATTGTGCTCCATTTTAGATCCTGAAGTAGTAACCCATCTTGGTAGCCATATATGGTTAGCAAATCCATTTTCCAGCAATAATAATATAATAGCTTTTCAATCATATGAATATAATTCTTTCCATCTCTTCATAACTTTTCTCTTAGCTCTTGTGGTGCGAAACCAACAGTCATTTTTTAATTTGCGATATTTTATAAAGCGAGCAATGTTGAGTATTCAATTGTATTCATATATGTGTAGATAATACCTATTAAACAGGAAATAGTGTAAATAGTTGTATTCTTCATTCTATATCCACGGAGTAAATGCCGTTCCCCACGAATGAAATCTGCACTATGCATTAGGTAGAAAGATTCAATATTATTTTTGATTCATTAATAAAATCCATCCTTGCTGTCTTAGTGATAATAATATTTTAGTATATATAATCCAAGCTACTAAAATTACATCTATCAACACTCCACGAGGCCATTGTACCATTGTCTGATAGCCTCTCCTTTCCAAATAAATGATACATGGAATATGTAATGTATATAATGTCCTCCTCCTAAGCGGGTATCCAGAATCCGTACCTCCTTCGAAAGAATATATTCTGGATTTTGAAGTCCTGTGATCGGAGGATATGATGTGAGTACTTGTAATTGTAAAATACTGTTGTGGCATTGATTCCCTCCATTAAATTGTACATACTTAGTATAGTCTTGATTCCTGAGTTGACAACACAACATACAATTGTTATAATATTAAATGTACATCCAAGAATGATAATCCAAAACTTGTTGAGGATATATAGTGTATACCACATAAAATGTAACATTTTCCTGCAGTGTAGTTTGGATTTTGAAGACCATCAAACCATGCTCATGCATCCAATAATTTTGGGGGTTATTTACATTTTATCTGAAAGTGTTTTCGTTTTTTAGTTTGCTAGATTGCTTCAGGATTTCTTCTTTTTCTTAAGTTGATTCGTGAAAAGTTGTTTATTTGTTGTCCAGCGCTCGACAATGGTTACCAAGGTAACAGTCACAAAAAAGAACATGGAGATGTAGAGACTGAATCCAAGTGTCTCACTAATCCTTACCCCAAGTGTCATTTCAGTAACCATGGTAACTCTCCTTATTAATCAAAAATAGATTTGATCGATGATGGTTTAAGTGAGTAACTGACTTGAATTTTCCAAATGTATTTTGTTTCACTGTAGCTTTTTACGTTGATTTTCTTCTTAGATGCTTTCTTCTATTGAAGTCCTTTAATTGTTATAAATAGAGATAATCTGTGCTGAAATAATGATAAGTAAATGTTACTTGTGTATAATATTAGTCCTATGTCAGTATCATTGCCGTGACCTTCTCCCAAGAATCGCTGTAATTAGAAGTTGTTTCTTGCTTATGTGTATATATTAAGGAAATGTTAATTACGTCACAACTTCATGGATGAGTCAAGACTATTGGGATTTAATTGAGTTTCATGAATTATGAATAAGAAGTGCCTGCTGTGTGCAGTTGGATTGCTGAAATTGTCCCTGATGGTAATTAATAAATAATATGACAACTATAAGTTTTCATGAGTTTATTAATTCACGGAATCCACACAAGCATCTGTCTATCACTTATGATTTTACAGTATTGATGCTGATGAGTCTCAATGATCTTAAATGTAACTTTTATGGCATTTTATTGGAGTTGGGTGTAAAATTAATGCCTGTTATTTTTTGTTAGAAAATGTAAAGCAGCGTGAACATATTTTGATTTAATTGATCTAGGTTTGACTGAAGGAATACACTGGTTTAACATTATGGGCTGGATGAAAATAGAATTTGCCTCATTTTCAGCCTATTAAAAGTAGATCTTTAATAAGCATGGCTTTTAAAATGATGCTAAATTGCGGTGGTACTTTAATTTTTTTTACACAGCATTTTGAAAATCTTGAACCAGTTGAAAAATATTATAGATTGCAGGAAACATACAAGAAGAGAATGGGATTAACTAATCTACATTTTGCATGGTACCAGATATATAAAAAACCCTGCTTATAAAAATAGTTTGGAAATTATTACATTTCCATGTGGACCTGCCCAGGGAATTGTTGAATAATTTATATGGAGCAAAGGTAACCCTGATCCCAACTGGTGAGTCTCACTACCCTCTGATTACTACACACATGATTATTAATATGATTTTAATGATCTTCAAAGTACCCAGCTGGTGGATATTAATGGGAGTCATGTGAAATTGTGCAATGTCAACAGGCTAATGTACTTATGGGCTCCAAATGGGGTGTATTAATTTTCTGCATATTTTTTATTCTATAGGTTATGATGGAATGTTTTAATTCAGAGAGTAAATAAGTGAGGCTTTTGCAAAGGGTACCTCATTTGGGAATTATATGAAAATACAACCATATTTTTGTTGATGGAAATACTTTATTGATAAAAATATTCAGTAAATTAAAAACATCATTTATTCTGGCATCTGATTTTTTACAGTTTTTTTACATCATTCAATGCCAGCAATAACGTTTTGACATGGCATCATCCTTCATGTCCTTGCTTTCCCGTGAAGTATTTGTGAAGGCAAGGGATCGTTGGTAATTGTATGTCATCCAGTATGTAGCATTGTTATGCATATATTCGGGTTCTTATATCCCTTGTCCTGAGATCCCTAGTCCTCATATCATCTTGTGTTTCATTTCCTGAAAACAAAAAACAGCAATAAATTAATAATAAATACAGAATCAGATATATGAAAGATGACAAAATTGTATCCAATATGATCACAATTAACCTTTATATGTGATTTTTACCATCTCAAGAATATTTTCTCCCAAAAGACAAATTAAGTTATCATACTAGTCACAAAGATACAAATGCAAACATGTATACACTCTGCAAAATGATAACTATTGATGTATTTACCATTAACCAAACTCTAAGAATCCATCCAGTGTATTTAAAGATGGCGTATAAGAGATACTCCTCATAACTCTTGAAATTAGTAGTGTAGTGAATGGTAGCTCCATCTTTTAACAAAAGCAGTTACAATCTTGACATTTGATAATCAAAAGTAAACTTCAATTGTTGTCTTATAAAACAAATCGCAGTTTTAATCATCATTTTTTGTACACCTTAACATTAGAAAGTATTTTAAGGACTTCATGGATTTTATCTAAATATTCTTAGAGAAAGGGGTGGGTAGTTTAGACTGTTCACCACCCAATGCATTGCCAATAGTATTCCATTTTTGAATTTCAGTTGCATCTGCGTCTTTGGTTTTCATGACATAATGTCAACCTTTGGGTATGGCAATATCTATACAACTACACCCCCCCATGCATTGCCAATATTATTCCATTTTTGAATCTCAGTTGCATCTGCGTCTTTCGTTTTCATGACATAATGTCAACCTTTGGGTATGGCAATATCTATACAACTACACCCCCCCCCCATGCATTGCCAATATTATTCCGGCCATTTTTGAATCTCAGTTGCATCTGCGTCTTTCGTTTTCATGACATAATGTCAACCTTTGGGTATGGCAATATCTATACAACTACATCCCCCCCATGCATTGCCAATATTATTCCGGCCATTTTTGAATTTCAGTTGCATCTGCGTCTTTGGTTTTCATGACATAATGTCAACCTTTGGGTATGGCAATATCTATACAACTACACCCCCCCCCCCCCCCATGCATTGCCAATATTATTCCATTTTTGAATTTTGTTGCATCTGCGTCTTTGGTTTTCGTGACATAATGTCAACCTTTGGGTATGGTAATAACTATAAAACTACACCCCCCCCCCCATGCATTGCCAATATTATTCCATTTTTGAATTTTGTTGCATCTGCGTCTTTGGTTTTCATGACATAATGTCAACCTTTGGGTATGGCAATATCTATACAACTACACCCCCCCCCCATGCTTTGCCACTATTATTCCATTTTTGAATTATGTTGCATCTGCGATTTTGGTTGTCGTGACATAATGTCAACCTTTGGGTATGGCAATAACTATACAACTACACCCCCCCCCCCAATGCATTGCCAGTAGTATTCCATTTTTAAATTTTGTTGCAACTGCGCCTTTGGTTTTCGTGACATAATGTCAACCTACACCCCCCCCCCCCCCAAAAAAAAAGAAAAGGAAAATGCACCGACCTGTAAGCTCACATAATGAGCCACCAAATCCTTCGGGACAAAGACAAGACAAAATACCAGTAGAGTCATCGCATGTACCTCCATTTGCGCATAGAAAAAATGGGTTTGAATCACACTCTGAAAATATGAAAATGGTTGAGCGACGTTACACGCAAGATTTATACAAATATGGACACAATCGACATTCCATTACAGATATCTAAACTAGAGTCCAGCATAAAACTTCAATTTGTATGCCACGATTGCACCTCCCTGACTGAAAACGGCTTTAAGCGATCGCACCCCCCCCCCCTCACTGAAAGCTGCCTACGCCCCTGCATAATATATGAGATTTCGGTAGATAAGTAGATAAGTAAGCTACATACTGTTTAGGTTGATATAACATGAGTCACCCATCCATCCGTCGTCACAATCGCACGTATAGTAATGGGGCTCTGTGCCACTGGCCTGGTGGAACACGCAATCTCCGTTATAACAGGCTGTCCCACACGTAAACGCTATAATACATGAGAAATAAAAAATGGTTTAACAATTAATTGTTATCATTTATTATAATCCGTCTCAAAGCCTCAAGATATCTCTTAACACTGAAGGCGCTGCGATTTCAACTTGATTTTATTGAAGATTGAGTTGGCATAGATTGTACTCATCAGTTCTCGTGATCCGTAATGAAATTCATCAATCAAGAAGACAATGCAGTGCCATCCTTTTACTTGTACACTACTAGTAAACTCTTTTCTTTCCTCTTTAATTTGCATGTCAAAAAGAGAATTGTACAGTTTACATTTTACGAATAACATTTCTTTCTGACAAAAGTAGACCAAAAGAAAGATACGAATTTAGTTAGTGATGTGATCCATTTCTTTAAGCCTAAAAGAATCACCTGACGTGGATTGAAAATAAAGATTATACAGTATACTTAGTCTACCTCCTTTTTGGTCGCAAAGTGGACCTCCCCATCCTTCTTCACAGACACATCGAGGTTCTCCTTCGATGGCCGTACAGTAAGACCCACGTTTGCAACTTTTTTCGTATCCCTCACACTGGTTACCTAAAGATGGAACATGTTAATAAGTCTTGGGTTGCGGGACCTTCCATTTTCTCACCAAGTCAAATTACATAAAATACACCAATTAAAGGAGTGACGTTCACAATAATGGAATATCATATTAATTGTGTGTAAAACCTACTTTGAGAGCTTGGCGCACACCATGGTCGCCCCTCGAATGCCGGGCTCCATTCCCCATCAATGCAACTCATCGTCGAAACCGGAAATGCCACCTGAGACGGATCATTGCATGTAAAGGTCGCAACTGAAGCGCAGCTATCAGCACTCTTAGTTAGTGTTACACTACCGACGCCCTGAGGGAGTTTCTTGGGTCTGTTACATTGACATTTGTTACTTGGAGCACAATTTGAAAGGGCCACTGAAAGACAGACGGACGGAATGAATACTAATTTATCCAATTGACAAAAGATAATATTCTAGACATGTCGAGAAACACGTTATATCTTTCTGCTTACTTCTGTTCATCAAGTTAACTTGGCTTTTTGTGGGTTGCTCTTTAAATCAGTTTGTCGTTGAATTGTTAAACTCGTCTTGCGCATGGTAAGCGAAGTTATAAATATTTTTAAAAATCGGATATACCATGTGATAAATATAGGTTATTTACTGGGAGGGATTGAATATGGGGTTTATTCCGAGGGACAATATGATATTGACCGAAGGGTAATATGATATTGACCGAGGGAGCGTAGCGGCCATGTGTCAATATCATATTGCCCAAGGTCAATATCATATTTTCCGAGGAATAAAACCCATATTCAATCCCGATCAGAAATAACCTATTTATTCCATAATACATCCCTCTAAATGTTACATTTGGATAATGCAAACATTATATTATATTAATAAATGCACATTGTTTGAAAAAGAAAAAAAAGAAAAAAACAACCGGGAAAGCCAAAATAGGTTAATACTGTACGATTCAATGCGATTTTTTCCAGGGGACAATAAAATTTTTTCATGTAATAAGATTCGATACGATTTTTATTCATTCATATTTCCCTGGGAAAACCGTAGTATTAGTATTATAAAGTCAAACATCAAATGATTTTTTTGATAAACGATCATATTTATTAGCGAACTAAGAATCATGTGACGTTGATTACAAATGAGTGTACTTTTGTTTCCAAATGTCGCCTTGAATGTTTTCTGATTGGACTATGATGTGCTATATTTTATCTCTATTATGTTCCCCGATTTCTTTTACCCCGAAGTCCAGCCGAGGCTTGTCGCAATCAAAAGAATAAATTCTCGGCCAAAGATGATTGAGACATGTCTTATTTTCCTAATTATTAAAAGAATGAATTAATATGCGCAAATGCTTCTAGAACGTTAACGGAGAGCAGTAACTATATTTTACCGCCCCTACTCCTACTTATATCTATTCACTCAGGCAAGTTTCCGCGTATCCATTTGGAGAGGCAGCCCACATCAGGAACAGCGTTACGTAACCTTAAATTCTTACCTGATATCACCAGTAAAACGACGATGTTGAATATGGGAGACATCTTCACGTTTCCAGGCGTTTTCCAGCAAAAATGTAGTATCAATGTTTCAAGTAACGATCTTTTTATACCAAGCATTTATAATTCTTTGGAAATGTCAACTAGTTCACGTAAATTTTGAAATAATGCCCTATGGATTATTCTCAGATTATAGACTTATCGTTGAATTGGTGTTGAAAATGCAGTTGATGTTTGAAAAAATGCCTGATTTAATCAGTTGTTATTTGATAAAAGAGGGGCTTATTATTGTTCTTGGTGAGGTTATGTTTAAGATCTTAGGACTTTTGTATGATCTTAATAGTTAGAGGTCGAGTTATCGAGAAATATCCATGGCAATCTTCCAATCTTGCAATCCTCTAATTTTGACCATTTACTTGATTATTTGCGTTTGTCCTTACATTTCAGAGATTAAAAGGCCATAGATACTGAGTTAGTTTGAGAACTAGGCTGTCTCGCATTGTTTTTTTGTACTGTGACTAAATATTCTAAAATGTAGGCTTTCACCGTCAGATATTCATTTTAACAAAAAGCAAATATAATAGTAGGTGTCATTTACTATGTATTATTTATTATAAAATTTAATATTTATGGATAAGTTTCGCTGTAACCCACTCACTGTGGTGGAACTCTTAAAACTTGTTACAATAACGGATCCGTTTCAGTAACAAAATGGCGCAGCTTTGGAGGAACGATTTTTCTTTTTTCCATGGAACCCGGAACACTTTGGTTGTTAAAACATTTGGGCAAGAGTCAGAACATTGGGTAGCCCAGAACATTTGGGCTTTCACACATCAAAAGCCAAAAGGGTCGCCTCGTGAAGTCGTGGAAAATTGAGAAAAATCGGTCCACCGAGACTGCGCTATTTTGTTGCCGAAACGGGTCTACATTCGTAACCATCTTGAAGGGTTGCTCCACAGTGCCACTACTCGAAACACACTTCTGACTTGACGTACGTATTAGGGTGTAACTACTTTAAAATGATGTAAATGGTACGTAATTGTAATTGGGGTTCACCTACACAAAATACATTTAAGTAGGCTATAAGCATATTAATTGCACATAATTACTATTTTATGAAAACAAGTTTGACGAGTTCCAATGCTGTACGTCAACAAATAATGACGTTGACCACATTAATTCTATTTCTCACTACAAATTCATGCACAAATTGGTTGACATCTGCGTGTATTGATTTTGCAATATTATTACTTCATCCCTCGGTGTCTCCCATGCATAATGTCACATTGCTCTGATACCCTTTCCTTGCTCAAAAACCAATATGTATCCTCATTCCCATTCTAATTTCTAGCCAAACCTTGAATCCCAATATTATGCCGTCTGAGGCAGTAGACGATTCAGACGTTATCGGGTTCTACAAGTTCCATTAATTTGCATCCCATCCAGTGACATCGAAAGTGCCATGGGAAGATGGGGACTGGCAATATGTACATCAATCGTTCCACTTTTCTCTGGTTGTGAACCCATGACATTGGGGGATCTGGGCGATGGGCGCATATGGGCCTGCCCCCTCCCCTATTAAAGATCGGGCCAGAAAAAATGTTGGCCCGAAAAATGTTGGCCCCAAAATCTTTTAAGTCCTCAATAAGTGGACCTCTTGGGGCATTACTGGGCCTTTTTTGGGCCATATTTTTTAATTTAAGTGCAGACGGTTTTGAATCTCAATTGATTGTCAACTTGGTCTTGGACTTGGAGTAACTATTTTAGCTAGATAATGTCACAGTCTCCAATTCTTCCATTTTGAAATCTTGATCTGATTTCAGTGATTTGTCTTGATCTGGTCCGATTTTCCCCCAAAAATATTTTTGGACAAAATGTGAATTTTATCAATATTTAGATCTGATAAAACAACTCAATAATTGGTTGTCAGAATTACTGGCCATGAGTCCGAACACTTGGGTCTGTGAGTAGCCCAGGATGAAGGTCATAGTAGGACATTTGCGTTTATGTGCATAGTGTACATAGTGTATCTATTGTACATGTACATGTATATACCAAAGCCTTTATACAGAAACCAAACGAATTTTGGCATTATTTTTCAAAATTTGGCCTAATTGTGCACCTTTCCCTCTGTTTTTTAGAATCGTCCTTTGTGTTTTGTTAAACATAACCTTCTGGCGGTTCCAGGAGGGGGGGCATGGGGCCTAGGATAGGCCCGGAAAAAATGTTGGCCCAAAAATATTGAAGGGCCTCTTTAGTGGGCCTTTTTGGGCATTACTTGACCTTTTTGAGCCATATTTTTTACAATTTCAGGCCAAATTTTCAAAAACGGACTATACATTTTCAAAATTTTGGCCCGAATTTTGGTTTTAGGGCCCTAAAAATTTTTTCGAGCGGCCCTAGGATGGGCCCAGAAAAAAAATGTTGGGCCAAAAATATTGTATGCCCTCTTTAGTTGGCCTTTTACTTGACCTTTTTACTTTTCAAAAATTTTGAAAAAACGGGCCATAAATCTTCAAAATTTAGGCCAAAACTTTGGTTCTAGGGCCCTAAAAGGTTTTCCACGCGGCCACAGGATGGGCCCAGAAAAAAATGTTGGCCAAAAAATATTGTAGGGCCTCTTTAGTGGGCCACTTTGGGCATTAATTGACCTTTTTGGGCTTTATTTTTTTCAATTTAAGGCCAAATTTTCTAAAAACGGGCCATAAATTTTTAGAATTTTCGCCCTAATTTTGGTTTTAGGGCCCTAAAAATTTTACGCGCGGCCCTAGGATGGGCCTAGTAAAAAATGGTGGGCCAAAAATATTGTATGGCCTCTTTAGTTGGCCTTTACTTGACGTTTTTACTTGACCTTTTTAGGCCTTATTTTTTCAATTTTAGGCCAAATTTTCGAAAAACAGGCCATAAATTGGTTCTAGAGAGCCCTAGAAGGTCTTCCGGGCCCAGAAAAAATGTTGGCCCAAAAATATTGTAGGGCCTCTTAAGTGGGCCTTTTTGGGCATTACTTGGACCTTTTTGGGCTTTATTTATTCAATGTTAGGCCAAATTTTCATAAAAGTGACATAGGTTTTTCCGCGGGTATTTTTTCCTGACTCGAAGTGTGCTCTTTTTGGTCAACTGGCAAAAGTGTATACCTCAACTGTAAACCTTGAAAGTATTGTTGACCTCGACCTCCAGTACTTTGAAGGTTTACAGTATCGGTATACATTTTTGCAAGTTGACCTCAAGAGAGGTCTACAATTGTATACCTTTGAACGCTACTTAGTCCTGTTGACCTCCACTTTTGAAAAAATAGTAATTTCAAGATTTACAGTATCGGTATACAATTTTTCCATTTGCCCTCAAGAGAGGTTTACGATTGTATAATGTATCTTTAACTGAGACAGAATTTTCACTACCCTGCGCGTAGAGTTAATGAAGACAAGCCTCACTTTCAGGAAGCGAAGTCTAACGAATACAAAGGGTAACTTTTCATACACCGAGACTGTACTAATGCAGCTTGATTTCTGAAATTGAAAGCAACATAACAGAGAAATAGTAAATACCTCCAGGGGCCTTTCTTAGAACTAGAGGCACGGGTGAATCATAGAATATGAACACAGGGTCCAATCCACATTCCACGATGTACATGAAGATGAGTAGGAGGCAAATCTATTTTTTATAAATTCTTTCCAAGAAATGCCAGAATGGGTATTTGTTCTTCACAGATGTTTAAAGTACTGTCGTTTTATTTACTCAATTTGAGCACCTTTTATGTTTTGTAAATCATATCACTCCTTCGGCGATATCGTACATCGGACAAACTCGTGGATTCAATTTCGTTGCAATCATTCAGGTAATGACAACATCCTTCTTCAAAGAACTTCATTTAGGCTTAAATTTAGAAAGAAAAGAAGTGAAATACCATTAGACCAAGGATGGCTTTTGCAAATAAATGTAAAGATGTCCCTTTATTTACAGTTTATGTCAGAAAAAGAAGTCAAGAAAATCTACTTTATACGTTTCCTCTAAAAATAAGATAATAACGTTTTCAAGCCCTATTCAAATATAAATTTCTTGTGGCCTTTTGTTTATCAGTAAAAACAACACCCCCGCAATGCAATTAAATCTTGGCACAACCTGGGCCGCATATTTGTGGTTTTTAGATAAAAAGGCTTTGGAGTAATTTACTGCTGCGTGATTTATATTTCAGCGTGACACTGGAGTTAATGTTCCATTTCCTGAATTCACGGAATTTCACATTTACGAATGCTTTAAATGGTAAATTTATTCCGCGTGTAAAAAGTCCACTTTACATTTGACAAAAGTGTATTTCTCTGTGTGATTTTAACTTGAAGAGAATAAATTCAAATTATATTGGTGAAAGGAACAAATGTCACTGCAAATGTATACCATGTCCTCAGTCCTGATTACTTTGGAGTTGGAAAGAAATGTTTCAGATAGAACAGGTAAAAGGCATGTCAGCCATCTCTCAATAAACCATGACAAATAAAGCATAAATTAACTTTCACACGACGTACCGAATGGAGAGCCCCTTGCCTCAATTGTAAAATTCTACGACCCTCTCTTCATTCCGCTCAGTACTACATGCATACTAAAATAACAAAGTTGATAAGAAAAATGGTAGTTGAGCAAGACCAGGGGATTTCTTTTAATTGTAACGAACAAAAAATAATATAATTCGTAAAGCTGTATACGACTGAATATTCGATGAGTTATATGCCGTGCCTTGATAATTGCCCGCAAATTATTTGAAGTGAAATTATTTCATTATTTGTTTGATATGTCATTGGCGCAATTATCACTCAAATTGTGCCTCATTATCTATGCGTGGTTTAATTTTGGGATGATTACCCTCAACTACGTCTTACTTTCAAAGAGAAATATGTTAGAACACGTGCTTTCACTTTTTTTGTTTGTACACTTAGTCAACTAATGTGTAATCGCTTTGCGTTTTTGAGAAGTTTCTTTAACCTAATTTTGCCCATCTTCGTTCACTCGGCTCCCGTCGGTCGGTCTGCGATGAACGCAGTGAAGACCGAGCGTGCGAAGATGAATTTTGCCCAAAATCATGGTTATATGCCCGTTGTATGATAATTCAGGTGACAATATTTACCAACATATAGTTGAATGAAGTGTTTGTATTATAATCACTTTAATGTTTCTATTATATTGTATGTTTAACACTCTCCTTATCACCAGAGTGTTTGTGTATAGAATCCCTCTGTAGAGAGAGAAATCGGTTGCCTAGTGATTATCCGTATGGTGACATACGACAAGATAGCCAAACATGCGATGAAGAAGAGCGTTATCGCAGATTCAATCCTTTCTGCACACTTTTGGTGTAGTCATGGAAACATGATAGTTTGACACCTTATTTTGTCAAATGGCAAGAGTATCGTTTCAAACGTCTGTTGTAGACAAATAAATACTGAAATCCAATAAAAACTATGATTTTTTACACTGATAAAACTCCTACAACTGACTACGAGACTTGGTTGGACCTCGACGGTTGCATCCTTTATTCCGAAAAGGCTTCATTTACCTTTCAATACAGGGATGCGACGGTTGTTCAAAGAAATCGTCGAACAAACAACAAACAACAAGCAAACAAACCAACCGTATGTGTTTATAAATTGAATGGACGTGTAATCATCTTAAAAGAACTCAAAAAACAAAACAAAAGCGTAATACTGTTTCAAAATGTTGAAGAACGTTACAGATAAATGTTAAATCACTGAAAATGAGCAATACATGACTTTTTTTCTCCTTCAGGAGAAAGTTGAGAGTTGTTTGTAACTCGGCATGTATAACTTAACCATTTCATAACCTTGCAAACAACTATAAACAAACAAGCGTATGATAAGTTGGTCTTAAGGCCAAGATGACCTTGACACGAATACCAGTATTTTGTTGTTTCATGGTAATCCCACAAACAAAGGCAGGCTAAGTGTTTTCGTCCTACGCATGTCACATTATCAGATATGAACAGATTATTTTACAAAATCACGAGAAACTTTCAACATATTGTGAAACTATGTGCAATCCTAGTCATTAGTATCAGATCATCACATCTCACTCCATCGTGATATCACAGCCTCCTATAAGTTTCCTTCTTTACAAGGCAGAGATGGTCTGAGTTATCCCGTGCCAGGATTATACAGTCCTGGCACGGGATAACGTCTGAGTATCAGAATGATCTCCCTCCGTGTTTTATATGTGTAATACTATATTTATTGGATTACATTAATAGCTATCAACTAATACAAAATGCTTTCCATACACATTGTTTAATGTTATCACTGGTAAAAAAGGGGGGGGGTGCAGCATTGGTCTCTGAATCTATTCATTCCCGACCCTGTGTACTATTGTTTTTACTCAATATTTTAATTTTTTGGCACATATGCTTATGATACATTGCCAGAGTTGACGGTCATGTCCTTAAATACTAAACGAAAACATTTGTAATTGATAACTGGTTGGCCTTACCAGATTTGAGCTTGGTATCAAAACTAAAGAACTTAGTATTTGAGATATAAGAATTCTTCAACAGACTATTAACATACAGTATTCACAGATATTCTAAATCTGGCTCACTAGACCGGAGTTATGGACTTCTTTTTGTTAGGTTTTTAAAAGGTATACAAAATGAAATTCTGTATCCGAAATGACAAACACTCGTTCACTTTAGTCTTGCCCCCCCCCCCCCCTATCTACTTTACATCAGTGAGTGAGGCCCTTCCATCCCAGACTACATCATTTTTATTCACACTTGGGGTTAGTCTTACAATTGTCTATTATTTAGTGATATATGCCATTCCTACCGGATAATACCACCTGTTTAACTTTACCTGTGGTTTTAGAGGCGGATGATGAGAATATTAGGCCATACTGAATATTGTTTACTTCGTGAATCTGGTTAACCATTGTGTACTACATATCAGCTGATCGGTTTACAAACATATGGGCAACATAAAAACAAGCCATGAAATTCCAATGGCCATTAGACTAAATCATTTACGATTTAAAAAATAGAGAAATTATTATGTACTTGGGAAATGTACACGAGTTTTATGCATCTAACACGAATGTTGTCAATGTATTTCATTTTCAGAACAAAGGGAATGGGACTCAATGATATGCCTAGGTATGGATTTAAACAGACTGGGAATTGTAAGTTGTTTGATGGGGTAAGATGTTCTAAATTGTAAATCCTTTTGTTACTAGGAATTTTATTTTAAGTTTAACTGACTTTTACTGTGAAATACTTTTTGTGACAAGTACTGCTTATAAAAAAACATTAAATAAAATTCAATAAAAAATTTATATCAAAAAGTTATCACTACAAGCTGTAAAAGGTCGATTCCAAGTGTTCTTTTCAAAGGATAAAATGTTTCTTGGACGGGGAAGTAAAATTTGGACCATATGTTGTTTACCATGATCATATGATTACAGGGCATTATAATGCCAAGAACTTAGGGCTGTTGTGGTTAATACCAGGATGAGTCATCGCTATTAATTACTCCCTCAGACAGAAACTGCAACTAAACATCACATTTTGTTTTCATTTTGGCAACCTTTCAAAACACATGACTTCTAAAAAAACACGACTCTTGAGGGCTTGTTTAATATTTAATTTTTATTATTTTTTAAGTATTTTTGTATTTTGCAATACTTTTCTGGAAATGTAAATAAATATAACATAAATTTTGATTTTCAAGCATTTTTCTGTTCATGAAATTTTATGAGTACAAAACTTGGCCAAGTATGAAAATTCACTTTTCTGTAAAAAATGAGCATTGAATATGAAAATTATCTAACAATTACTTGTTAAATGAACTACTATTGTCTTGGTACAGTTAAAGCATGCTTTTCACAGTACAATACTTAACACCATGATATATAATTGTAGAATAGAAAACAATACACAATTATTTACAGACTCTCAGCCGATCCACAGCTGAGTTTATGTACAAATATAATACACACTAGAACTACACTGATAATCAGGCACTCATGCAAATTTTGATATAACTTTGCATTAACAGTTATAAAACAATTGAAAGGAGTCTACAAATATTTTAGAATTGTTATTGCCTGTAATTTCAACACCTATTATTTAATTGCATTAGTGTCTATCTTTGGATGATTCTTGATAGTCATTCATTGGCATTATGTTTGTGCATCACGATGATTATACCAAGTTAGAATCAGTTGTGAGCATAACTTGACACCCACTGTTCACATGGTCCATGATTTGTTTTTTAAGTTGCATCACTTGGTCTCTGAGGCTAGAGGCTGTCTGTGTTAGATCATTATTGTGTCCTTTTAAATCATTAACGCGTTCTTCAAGGCGAGAAATTTTTTCTAACTTCCTTGTACGACATTTTCTGGCAGCAACCCTATTTCTCGCCCGTTTACGCTCGAGTTTCATGACCTCCTGGGTGCCCATATCAAGAGGGCTGAGGGGAGGGGTACTACCCATACAAGGTACTGTCTGTGGTTCCTCTTTGACTGTAGAAACGCAATCATTCGCAGGGCCACGGATTACACTGTTCAATTGATGAGTATTAACTGTTGTTGGTATATGGCTGCTGCTAGATGTTTTATTGTCCATAATAACGGATGGATGAGGCACTGACATAACGGTCAGGGGGACAAGGCTGGTCGTGCTTAAGCTAGTTGCACTATCGCCATTGATTGTAGACATGGCTGAGCTTATGCTGCTCGTCATAGTGTTTTGAGTGAAGCTGTCCATACTCTCCGTGTTGTGATGTAATTTAGCGAGTGCATCAACGAATCCTCTGGCATATGCCTCTTGTTCCTCCGTCACAGACTTGGGGCAGATGAACTGCGTTGGGGTGGGGGTCGTGGTGATCATTCCATTTGACTGGATAATCATTTTTTCCAGTTCAGGCGAAGCAAGTTTCAGCATATTCAAGTCAGGCGATGCCAATAATGCAGTAAACTTTTGCATTTTGCTGCTAGGACCGCCAAAATCCAATGTCATTTTTCTTTTCAACATTTTAGTGTCTTTAGCACTGTTTGTATTTTCATACAGTGAAGTTTCCATGTTGTAATCTGTATTGAAATTGTTCATGAATCAGCTTATGTCTTTTTGTGACTAATTCTCACTATTTATACGTTGTAAATACGTCCACTTACTACCTGACTCACAGTCCTGTGGCTACTGATAGATTCGTGATCTTAAACGACTTTTAAGATGAGTTTTTCGTAAATTTTTCGTACGTCTCTTTCGCTGTTCTTTTTCAAACAAGTTATGACTCAGATCCTGTTTTCGACTCTACCTTTATACTTGACTAATACTTCTAAAAATAGAAACTATCGTCACTTTCTGTGAGTTTGATTGGATATTGATGATATCATTGTGTCACGTGGTACAATTGATTGACAGGTTAATTGAATTATGTTGCATTCTGGGATTACAACTTCCGCTACGTCAAATGACGTCAGTTCAATATTCTAGAACGAATACCGCCTTTTTTACCATATAAGGTAATACGGAAGAAGACGGGGATTCCCTTCTTTGAAAGGATGGTGAATTCCCCGGGTACGAGACGTGGAACGTCGTCAAGAGTCGAGAGATGGAAGTTCCAACTCCCGGGTGATGGAAGCCCTCACCCTAGTTACCAACTCAAAGTTTCTGGACTGTCACATTGGTTTTGTTGCCCTTTTTTGCCCCAGTAAGCGTATGAAGAAAAACAAACTAAAATGAAATGTAACTTGTGCTGAGAATCTCAGTTTTTCCGGAACTTCCCTAAAATGAAGAACATCTACAGCTTTTACATTGGCCTATGTAGGGTCTTAGAGTATCAAAATGACCAATTAGTTTTCAATTCTTATTTCTATTGATATTTCGCTGGATTTTATCGTCAACGGGTATTTCCAATACATAGCGCGCGTGTCTGTATGTCACGTGACTGATGTACACATTTACCACTAGAGGCAATCTGCGCGAGATTCCATTTTTTGATTCGGTTTTTGGCGCATGCGTATTAAATCAAGCAGTTTAATTGGTTTAAATTATTATAACGCATGCGCAATGAGTAACTTAATAAGAACATTTAATTTGAGATAGATGTCACTTACGTTCATTATTTCACAGCAGTCCTTACCCATAATACACCTTATTTTGCGGGTATATTTTTGTTTCGTGTCAAAACAAAACATTTACACCAAAAACAAATGTAATGATATAATATCAACCTGTCCCGGATTTGTAGACGTTTGTTGTACAAACTTAAACCGAACCGATGACAGAAAAGCACTTTGAATCATGGGAGTGACGTACTTCCCTTAAAGAAAAACCGAACCAAGTAAAAACCGAACCTCGCGCAGATTGCCCCGACTCACATTTACAGAATTTTAAAATTACATTTGTAATTCAGTGCAGCATTTCGTGCATATAAAGGATAGTATATAATATTTGCATAGCATGGTATGTTACATTTATTTCATTTTGATTGGTTTAATAGTTATTTGTATCAGTTTAATGATAGATATTCTCGCAACTCATGCAATGATATCAAAATTCTCTATTATCGCCCACAAGAAATTCAAATAAAAACATAAAATAGTAAAAGTCGAATTTCTACATAGAGTCCATTTCATTGTTTAACTGCGTCAGTAAAAGCTAAAAATTAAGAAATCAAAATATCATTTTGCAATAATATATGGAAAAATATATTCCTCTTGTACATGATTGACATTTGTATATCTTGGATTGCTTCTAGTTTGGCTTATAAAGTGTATGGCCTCTTATATTTGGATTTACTCTACAGAGCTGACAGAAGTCAGCTCTGGGAAGTTGGATCGAAAATTCTTGAAGAGGAAAAATCGAGCCCATTTTGAATAAACGCTGTGCTGAGTAGCGTTTATAACACACTATATATTTGAATCAATACATAATTTATTTGTTGTTACCTTATTTTGATCCTTCGACAGTCTGTTGTTGTATTAAATCAATGTTCTATCAGTTAACAAAACTTTTGAATTTGGATTGCAGCCATTTTAGGTCTCGCGAGATCTCTTGACTTTCGAAAGTTAAGATTTGCTACAAAATAACTCGCGTTAGCTAAATATGTATAGTCACGTGATCCTTTAGCGGCGATGACCATGCGCCTGTAAAGTATAATGCGCATGTGCCCGCATGCGCAAAAATTAAAAAATGGTGCGCGCCAGATCTGGAATTTCTCTATTTAATTGCAAATTACACAACAAGTAGGACTTATTGTCACCACGCATCATGAAAAGGGCAAGTTAAATTCAATTATCTTCTTAAATACCGTTAACTTATTCCAGCGCGCCTGCTGGAAGTTGGAGTAAAACACTTCACAAGACAGTATATTTGAACGGTCTGTCAGCTGGCTTTTGAGCCAGCTGTGTTCAGTAAATTTGGATGCTTCTCTGCCATGTTATTTTCAATAAGATTAACATGGCTGAAATTCTTCAAATTACAAGAAGGCACAGGCTTATTGCACAAAAAACTAAAAAATCTGAAATATACAAATGTCATTTATGTACATTATGAATATACTTTTCCATATATTATTGCACAATGGGCTCCCAATTTCTTATTTTTGCCATTCTACTGGCGCAATGAAGCAGTGAAATGGACTCTAGATACACAGTCAATGAGTCAGTATGCATTTATAATTTGACCCGAAAACATGATCTTTAACCTTTTTTCTCCAAGTTCAATAACATGAACATTTTCTAGGCGTAATTTTGTCAATTTTTTGTCAAATAGATGAATTCAACAGTAGGGCAAAGGTAGTATGTATCCAACAGACCGAATATAATATTCGGTCTGTTATGATTGATATATTTCCTGTGGAAATCGCGGTGATATTTTTTGCACATAAATTTCTCGTTTATTACAAGAATGTTCACCTTGAAAATTGGTGAATATGTTGAAGAGATGTTCATCTTAAACTAGAAGCAAAAATATTTGTATAAGGCGGGTACAAGTTGATATAAAATAATGAAATGTTCAGACTCACCAAAACTTCAGGATGTGTTCACAAGTACATCGCGAAATCAATGTCAAGGACGTTTGAGTTCACGAGATCCAATTGAGATATGCAAATTTTTGAACTTTGACAACACGTGACCACTTGATTACCTCGGCCTTCTTCATGAATATTTCCGCTCTATTTACTATAAATGACGAAAATTAATCGGGATAATGATAATAAATGACTAGATCTAATAAATTCCCGCACAAATGGAATTTATCAATACGCTTCCGTAAGGTTGCTCCGTCTGCTCCACGTGTTATTTGTTTACAAATAGACTGACGTCACTGGCTAAATCTCGTTTATCGTGAGAATTGGCATTGCCAAAATGGCTTGACCTAATCAATGGCTTCGCTACAAGAAGCGTCTGTACATTTTATGAATATCTTCAGTAAGAGGACAATATACGAAAAAATAATATTGTAAGTTCTTTATAAGGTAATCATTTTATCATTAAACAAACTTATTTGTAACATTTATACAACACCACATTTTACAATAGGTGACTTACAGTCTGAATTTATTCAGACGAAGGATACAGTCTAAGGGCAAAGGGGTGTAACGTCGACGTGTGGGGTAATGTTGACATACGAGACGTAGTAACTTTGACACTTACTTATAAGAAGTAGAATTTCTGTTTTCCGCCATATTGATATCTGGAAAAATTTAAATCTCGCGAGATCTCGATCCATGCAAGAAAGAAAACATGGCTTCCCCATAGATCGGAAATTAGAGCAAATAAACAGCAAGGTGTTGAAGTTACCCCAAAATGGTGTCGACGTTACACCCCTTTGCCCTCAATACTAAACGGTGGGTTTTCAAACTGTAAACAGAGTGCTCCTACCAAAATGGATTTGCCTATATACCCCTGAGACTTGTATCTGATAGATAGAATGCACAAATAAAGCACAAGTTTAGCTATTATAGACAAAAAGTTCTCTTAAATTTTGAAGTGATTTTACCTGTTAATTTTGTCATCGGTCCGCCAATTTTGTGGAAGTTACACTGAAACACAAACTCCATGGAATGAAACAAAATCACTAGAAAAACATAGCACACATTGTGCGCATGCACACTTAGTTAAAACCAATCAGATTATTTGAATATTTTGCGCACGTCATGAATTATTTGCTTCTGAGCACTAATCATTAAATGGTAACCACAATAAACATGCCTGGCGGAGATTACCCTTACTTCATTTTAGCGAAATGTGACCTCAAGCATGTGACAAATGCATTATGCATACTCGAAGCCTTGGAGACACTCATTTTGGTAAATATGATTTACGGTGTATACTTTTCTGCAGTTTGGGAGAGTTTGAGACATTTACTGTTAAAATTCAAGAAAATATGCCAAATATACGACTTATCAATTATTTTTCGTCACGACTGTAGACCTGTTCCATTATTGTAGAAATATATCAAGGTCACGATGACACAGAAACTTGAACAAAAAATGCACCTACTAATAGTTAAACCATGAAAACATTTGAAAAACCACTTGCCAGAAATCTTTTGAAATTCGCCATTTTGACCAATCAGATTATAGTATTTCAACCTCATCCACTATTTGCCAGACCCTCCACATTACGTTTTTGGACTTGGAGAGAAGAAAGTATAGATCATGATTTGGGCTTGCACCAAATCATGGGCTTTCAAACCACTATGGTTTGAAAATGCTGATAGAAATTTGACTACTCATTTATTTATGGTCGAAACTGTAGGTGGCAATTTATTCCAGGTTCTCTTTTTGGTTCAATGTATTTCACTTGCTGCGATATGTGATAAGACAAGAGTACTATCATACTGAGGTTGATAAACGCACATGTAGCCCTTTAGTTATATATGTACATTTGTTTTTTCGCTTCATATGATATTTGATTTGTATGTTATTTGCATAATTTGTACAGCTTGGGACCCCCTCCCCCATAAACAATAAAGATAAAACAGTAAACAGTAGAACGATAGTGGAAGAAAAGAGCTTTAAAATGCTTTTATTTGAAGGTTCAGTTACATAAAATTTTGCAGATTTCAAAACAAATCCTAAAAAATATTTTTAGGCCTGTTTATGTCACGAAAAATTTGGGGATCACACCCCCTTGACTGAAAGCTCACTACGTTCATGTATTTACATCTATTGAGATGAATAAAGCACTGCCCCCAGGATTCCGTGTTTGCAGAGCGCAGACGGAATTTGCCTCTGCCTGCGGAATTGCAGAATCAACTATTTTGGTCAATTTCCGCGGAATTTTCCGCAGAATCCATTTATTTTCCAAAAGTTTAAAAAGTCAGTCTTACCTGTAACAATTTGACACGTTTTCAGTCAAATCCCTTGCAGAAATAACCCAAATTATGCGAAGTGAAAATTCTAAACGCCATCGTTTGATTTCTGCCGTTAGATGGCAGCATGTATGTAGTGACTGACTACCTGACTATCACGATATTTTCCCGTTTACTGGTTCGAAAACCATTAGTTTTTCTTTCGGTTCTCGTCAGAAAGTTAAACAAAGACATAAATTAATAACAGTTATTTATATTATTAAGTTATTGATCGAAAAAATGCCGCGAATATCCGCGGAATTTCTGCAGAATTAGCCCTTTCTTCTTGCAGAATTCACTAATTTCACTTGCAGAATTGAGCATTTTAACTTGCAGAAAACTGGGGGGAGTGATAAAGCTGATATTCCATTAATCTTGAATGGCCACAGGTACAGGCCCATATTTGGGGGGAGGGGGGTGCAGGTTTGAGCAAACCTTTCCCCTCTGGCAAAAAATTCTTTCAAAATCATGCAGTTTTTCACCATTCTGATGAGAGTGATTTTGGCCATTTTTGTTAATTCAACATTGTGATGGCTCTGTAATGATCCCTGTCTTGATTTCTCATTCAGAAAAAATTGTATTCGATTCACATTTCTGCACATTTTGTGAGTCAATATCATTCCCAGTCTCCTCCATCCAATCAGAAGAAATTTTACAATCATTCAATTAGTTTTGACTTTTCTTCTTCTTCTCTTATACACTGGACGAAATATTTTTCTTTTCAAATCCCTGGGAGCAGTAAATATAAAGAAGTTATTCACCTGTCAGGATGATATGGGGAATATCACAAGGATGATATCAGTATTATTGATATCAATCATCTGAGGGATATTCTCCATATCATCCCGACAGGTGAATAACGTCCTTATACCTTGGTTCAAGAGCAATATTTACCCCAAAAACTATCTGTTTGATGAGAAAACATTAAATTAATTTTTGAAATATTAACTTTACATGTATTTTATATTATGACTGTCAAAACCTAAAAATGTCATTTTGAAATTTAATAGATGTTGTGAATGTGAAAAGAACTGATATTGCCCTGACCATGGTATAAGCCTCATTATCCTATGCCAAGTAGAGTTTTAGGGAGATAAGTTGGTAATATATATCCCATATCCTGATTTTGAGGTTTCCATATCCAGAACCTCCATAATTCCCGCCATATCTCCCGCTCCAGGGCATATCTTCCCGCTTCGAAAAAAATTGAAAAAAATAAGAAAAAATTGAAAAAAAGAAAAAATGTGAAAAATTTGAAAAAAAGAAAAATTGAAAAAAGAAAACAAATAGAAAAAATTGAAAAGAAATTAGAAAAATGTGAGAAAAATTGAAAAAATAAAAAAAATTGAAAGAAAATTAGAAAACTCTACTTGGTATAGGATAAAGCAGTTATGTACAGTCGGTTTGGATATTGGGTTCATCCCTCGTGAGATATGCACATCTACCTTCGGTCCCTATGGTCCCTCAGGTAGATATGCATATCTCCCTCTGGATAAACCCCATATCCAAAACCTCCCAGTACATAACCCTTATATATTCACCAGGTATCTAATTTAATAAGCATGTCCAGTGAATATTGCCAGATCTTTCATGACATGTGACCCGCTTTTTACCAATCATACTATTGTAAGCTTGACAGTGATTTAAAAAATATAAAATATCTCTTGATTTTTTTATGTCATAATTTTTGTCCATCAATATCTGCATGAGTGAGTTACCAAAATTTGGAATTTGGTACCAGGCATTACCTTGTGATGATAGTGCTGGTCGCTTTTCTACATTTCAAAGAACCAGGAAGATTTTTGGTTTTCAAAATCATTATTTGTGAAATTTGTTTCTTGCTTCACTGAAAGATGGCATCATTTGCTACAGTAATGTTCATATAAATGCATGTTATTCAGCGAGTCATGTCCTCAAATTCCTTCATCAGATTCACGCTACTTGTATTTACCTTTCATTTTTTTGCTTCACACAATTAAAGGTAAATAAACCAAGAAATTGTCTAAAGGTTTTATGCATGGCACAAACATACATACACAATACCTGAAACTGAATATGAGAAGAAGTGTGAATCACTTTTAGTACCACTTTTTATGTGCCCTTTGAATAAGGTTGTATTGATATACCTCTGATATGTTTTATGATTGTGGAAATATTCTCATCGTGGACTGCATAATTTAAAACAAACTAAACTACAATTATTCATGCTTTAATGGTCGAAAAACTCATCATAGTTGATGGTTAGAGGGCAAAGGAGGTGAGTTCCCACAATCCAGCTGGTAACCTGAGAAATGTGTTTACATATACCGCTGATTCTCTGCCTTATATGGATTGACCTTTCACCTTTCAGCAGACTGGCGGCAGATTGGCAGACTACAGTTGTATGTTAACCTGGACTAATGCTTCCAAACTCTTGACTCCATCAACATATTAGTAAGTACAACCTTCATATTTCATGCAGTTGATCTGTCTTCTTAATTAAAACCCAATGCCTTCACTGTGCCAAGCAATTCAATATTGCATTCAACTGCAAGTATTGGAGATATATTGGCTGTAATATTGGAGCCATGAATATTATGTAGATGGGATAGTAGCCATGATAGATATGTTATAATAATTATGCACTAGCAGACATAGCAATAAAATCAGTACCAGTGATATTTCCTGTAATGGAATGATATTCTTTTGAGGTAAGTGTACATTTTAACTAAAATATTAAATCTGATCATCACTATGGTAACACACATAGGCTTGGGGTTGCAGATTGCGAGATATTATACCTCGTACATTAGAACAGCATTGATTCTTGAGTCTGGACCAAATCTGTATGTATGGGTATATTGATGTAATTTACATGTATACACAAGTGTAGTTGCTGTATTCTGTACTGAAATATTAGAGTAATGTCAAGAGCAGGGGCTAGACAAATACAAGGGGGCGATTTGTCAACATTATAAATTCATAATTGTAACCATGTTTATCATTATTATGACTGAGTGTCAAGAGGCATGTATGCATATATCTCTTTTAGCTTACCTCATGGTTCAAATGTCTTCAGTGTGATAAGTTTGTTATTTCTGTTTTGCCCTCTATCATCATATGTCATACTTTACAGATCTGTAGAAGTTTTCAAAAATTAAGACAGATATAGTTTTTTTTAACAAATGAACCAAATTGATATTTTTTAACACATATTCTTCATACATTTGCCTCTTCCCTTTCCAATGGTGATTTTGGTTCTTTACTTTAAGAGAGAGGCTAACGAACTACGCTCTAACCCTCAAGCTTGGCTAGTGCAATTTGAAAAAATGCTATTGATATATCTTCACCAGCTCCATTGTGATGTGCAATTGTTCGGACATAGAAACTGGCGGATTTTATTGATCTCATGTGCTGAATAGCAATACAAATAGAACATGATAAACAGCGAGGGTGCCATTGACCTTAAATCACCTAAGATAGGATATACATCCACATTCCTCTTAGGGCAGTACTCGAAGAGATCTATCTATCATCATGAATGTGCTTTTTACAAACAAGCTATGGGTCATATGATATTCAAGGGATGTTTTTTCAGTACTTTTTATTTTGGGTTTTAGCCAGGAATTGCCTAAATCTTAGTGAAAATTGTTCTCTCATATGGAGTTTTTTTCATATGAAACTGTAGAATTGGGTCAATGGTATTGTGGCTTATTGTGGTACCCGTAGCTCTAACTCTTTCATTGAAAAATATCATCATGAGAAATCATTCCCTTATATTAGTTTTTTTGCTTGTTGAAAAACAGAAAGATCGGATGAGTGGTGTGGAATGGAAGAATAGTCCGAATTTTGAACCATTAATCCTTGCTATTTTGGCATTTTAAGAACCTAATGAGAGGAAAATAACATTAATGAAGAGTTAATTGTAAACAAACTTGAAACACAGAAACTAGAGTTCTTATTAACCTATATTCAAAATATAAAATGTCAGTGTTAAGGTGGTATATTTCAAATATGCTTATTGATCTTATAGATCACATTTGTATCCTCAATCATACTCGCTTATTTCAATCATGTGAAATCTTCTTTCTTTGACAATGATCCATGCCACATTGTATATATACATATTTTGTATAAATTATGCTCTTACACAGATTGTTTTCCCTTTTTGAGTAAAAAGTATATCTCATGTTTTAGATACTACAGTATATCATAATTTGAGATGAAAGTTCATATCTTGTCCCTAATAGGGGATATGCTTTATATATATGAGATGATAAGACCAGGAATATCTGTATTAACAATAGGGATTATATTAAGCAAGACTCATTTCTATGAAGAAGTTGATAGCGAAGCATCTCCCTAATACATTGCATAATACAGTGGAATTTTGTTATTCATTAACACATTTAATCTCAATGTGATGAATTATTCAATTGAACCTTAATTCCAAACATTGATACGGATAAGGCAGTTCCTGTTTATTTTACAAAATCCTACAATATACAAATTTAGTAAATCCAGTCAATTCCAATTATATATACATGTAATCAGTTAAGCTTTACAAATTGCCCAGTCCAGTTATTTACAATTGATCAGTGAAAGTCTTTAAGTCAATAGGGACTTTTGCCATGAGTTTACCTGTATATGAAGTTTACCTGTGTAGAAACTACACTAAGTAATCAACAGTGCTTCATAGCCATATCTAAAAGCAGATTAAGTTGGTCTGAGACGAATTTACTTGAGATGAAAAGTCTTATATTTGCCAGAAAGTCTGTAGAATTGAGTGTTTCTTGGCATTCAGAAGCGTTCAAGTACAAAAATCTTAAGAATTGCTATTAATCAGAATTTAGCACATAATATGATAGATACTCTTATCCAAAATATGGCAAACTGTTTTTGAATAAACCGCTATTAAAGGACCAGTGACAGTTTAATATAAAAAATAACAGTGATAGGTTAATTTTGACCTAATATGGATATCAGTGAGTTATTTGTTGGTGATAAAATAATAAACCTAGTTAAAACATAATTAAAATTAAAAATTAAAATTTGTTAACAACAGCCAGAGGCTATACCAGTTATTTATTACGCACATTGTGCACATTTTTGAGTGTTAAGAACAATACAAACTATTTTCCTAATATCAGTTTCAGTCAAATGATGATTTGAAATTTGGAAATTACCTGAAAACATATCATCATGGTACCCTCGCATGTAGACTGATTTATGATGGACTTTATCGCATTGCAATTTGACAGCAGAAGATTAAATAAGTAAGGTCGAGTTGGATTTCATCTAAAAGTAGGAAGTTACTCGTTGTGACCTACTTGAATCTGTTACATATATGCAAACATAAACATAAACGATGTAAACATAATATATCAAGTTTGAATCTGGACTCTAGAGCAACATACAAATATTAATGATGTTCTAATATTAAATCCTACATCTCAGAGATAATTTTATACGGTGATATTGGAGGTGTAAATGCCAAGAAGTATGGTCGTTAAGGGAGTTACATTCAGACTGTAAGTATGCAATCTGTTATTCAATATAAGATCTGAATCACTGAATTAAAAGTGATGCAATATAAAAACAAAAGTTCTATAGAATATAATTGAATTTCTGCTACATACTTTCATATGAAATTACATAGCTGCTACACTATATTCAAGAATATCTATAAAATCTTCAAACTTAGTGATAATATATTATATACATCTACATTTTACAAATTATTTTTCCAGGTAATTGGTAAGGTCATACTTAAATAATAATTTGGGATTTTTTAGAATTTATTTTTTCATATCAAAAATATATCTAGCCGTATACAGGAAGTCAGGAACTTTATTTATGCGTAATTTTTTTAAACATTTTTTCTTCAATGAGGCCCTATTAAGTGACACTTTTTTGTTAACAACCAAATTACAGTGAAACCTGTGTATATTGAACATCTATAGAGCCACAGAAATGTGTTCTCTGTGAGAAGGTGTTCACTAAAGAGAGTATCATTTATATAGAAATAACTTGATTATTATTTGGTAACGAAGGGTGTTTGTTAGAAACAGGTGTTCACCAGAAAAAGACAGATTTCACTGTATCTCCTAAAAGGAGAAATCTCTTAGGCTTATAGTCTCCCAAGGCAGAAGCCTCTCAGGTAAACTACTACTAGCCTCTCTCCAGCAGAAAATTCTCAATCAACTAAGCCTCATTTGGCCCCTCTCCTCCAAGCTAACCTTTTCACCTGCCTCATTCAATAGTACTTCAATAGTACTTGCTGGATCTTAGTATTTTATTGCATATTACAGAGTTAAGAACTGTCATATCAGCAATAGATGTACTATGCAAATATAGTGAACTTGAAATCTTTTCATCATTTATCTTTAGCAATTTCTATTGCAATTGATATTCTCATCTTAAAGGGTTCAAATACTTAATCATCAACCAAATAACAAATAAAGATTGTCTCCGAAAACTTGTTAATGTTATCGCTGTTGGAACTGGCTAAAAGTGTTCATATTGAGAGATGACATGTTTGACAATGAGAAACCTTAGGTGGAAATGACAAAATGTTCACATTTGAAGGTGTTCAGTTCTGAGAGGTATTCACATGACAGTTTTTGCTGTGCTTGTTTTTTACTTTCTCTTTGAGCCCGTTAAAATGCTATATTTGATAACGTGATGATGATTGTTGGAAAATAGTAAGCATAAATAGTAAGAATAAATCAGAAAATAATAAGCATAAATATGTACCTGAATAATATATTTTAGTTATTGCTTGTACATGTATTGGCACTTGGCAGATACAGTATACACTTACAACTATAGTCATTTGCATTTTTAAAAAGTAAAGTTGCAGTTTGCCTTTTGATCTGACAGTTTTTCAATAGAGATTCGATTATTTACATCCGCTGACAATTTGATGAGCTCTTATATTGTGAAGATAAACTCCAACCCCTGTTATATCATGTACCAGCTAGTTTATTTTTATTAATCTGTGTACATATTGAAGCTCGGGTCTATTGGTAGAAAAGCTGAAACTATAAGCAGATTCCCATTCCTTTACTTTAACTCTTGGTTGCTGAATGTTAATCATTACTTTTTGTAGGGATGATTTATGAGGTTTTAAGAATCAGAGGGTTAACTACAGCTGTTACTGATATATCCAATGTTCTGAGCATGGCGTGGTTGTTTTTTGCACAAACCTTATATTTATAAAGATTACAATAATATATTTATAAAGAATACAATAATCATGTTATTCAAAGATCAAATAATATATACCATCGTTATATCAATAAATGTACCGCAAAATGTGCATTGCTATACTCTTTTGGAAAATTGCTGACATCAGCATTTTTGGTTCATGATCAAAATATTTCCAGATAGTTAGAAAGGTATGGGCTATCAACATACTTTTGAATACTCAGGACTGTACAGTATTTGGAGCAAGAACATGTAACTATTTAAAAGTACAGATGTATGTTTGTTACAACAGATTAGTTCTAGTTACTTAATTACTTCATAGTTCTAACAATCTTGAAATCCTTTAAGTTCTTACTTAAAAATCAATTTTGGTGCATAGTAAACTAATTTCAATGAATTGAAGTAGGTCTCAGTAAGAACCTGACATATCAAATGAGTTCTAGTAAGAAAGTCACATTTCTATGGTTATTTTACATTCAGTAGTTTCATCAATGAGAAAGAA